CAAAGACCACTTCCTACAATTATATTCAATTTAACGCAATTTTCTCTGCGAAAACAGAGGCTGTGATCCACAAACAACACACACAACTCCCCCGAGGTGTGATTTATGCGCATAATTAGCAAGAAATTGCATAAGATTAGTTTTAATTAGTTGAGGCAACTTTTGTGCAGAGCAACCACAGCCAAAAATGCTAAATAAATAACTTTGCTGCAGTTGAGCCGTAGCCGAAAGCCAAGAAACTTCCGCATCCGGCTTCACAGCGTGAGCAGCAAGGACTCTTCCACTTCTCTACACGGCTAAAGTGCAAGGAGCCTCCGGCGAAGGAAATAAACAAAAACTTTATGGCTCGAAGACCGAAAGAGCAGCCCACATTTTCTTACTTGCGGTTGGCTTTTCATCAGAGATGGAGTGAAATACATTATTATAACAAAGATGTTTGATATCTTTATAAATTTCTTGAAAAGCTACAACGCAAATCTTGCACAATTTGTTTTATAAGTAAAGTGTAGTACTATTTTTTCGATTTATACTTTAAAATAAATGTCAGACCTTTAAGGAAAGTTGCCAATTGGCATCACTTCTTGCTGTATCCTTGGCAGTCGCTCCAGCTCCAGCTCCGTCTTCATCTGTGGGCAAATGTTCGCGCATTATTTTTCATTTGCATTGCGTCATTTGTATGGCCCGGGGAGGTGACTCAAGGGGAGCAACTACAGCAGGAGTGCTCCAAGAACCACTGTCTGCTCGGACTGCTAATTTATGGTGACCCCTTTCGGGGTGTGGAGTTCCTCGTTCTCCGTGGCTGTTGCTCTTCGTCCGCCGTAGTTGATTGCCAAGGCGACCACAAAACGTTGCCCGGGCAACGAATAAAAAAGCAAAAAACAAAAACCAAAATAAAAACACAACGATAAGTTTTCACATGTCAGTTAAAGTGTGTTTTTGGTGTACCCGTAATCGAAAGGTGTTTAATTGCTAGTATAAAAAATATACAGAAATTTCCACCCCTCCAATAAGTGTTGCTGTTAAAACATTATGTGAAATACAGAGAACGCTTTTAGGTTTAGAACGCTTTGCTTAAAAAATAATCAAATTACATAAATAGTAAGTAATTATAAATTATTTTCATTTAAATTTTATATATGTACATATAAAAAGTTAAGGAAATATCCTTGCAACATATACCTATTTAAGAATGTTAAAGACTTCCTGAGAGAGAACTTACAGAGAACGCTTTTAGGTTTAGAACGCTTTGCTTAAAAAATAATCAAATTACTTAAATAGTAAGTAATTATAAATTATTTTCATTGATTTGGATTATATATATGTATATATAAAAAGTTAAGCAAAGGTCCTTGCAACATACACCTATTTTAGAATGTTAAAAACTTCCCGAATCCAATTAAAACTGCAGAAATTTCCAACTTTTATAAAGAAATAAAAATCACATTTAAATTCGTAACACTTTCTAGATAAAATAACCTTTCTTATATTTTTTTTAATTAAGTTTTTGTGAACCTCTCCTCTCACTCATTGTTGCAATTTCAAATGCGATTTGGCTGTCCGCCAGCAGAGCCTTCTCCTCTGCATGTGGACCATATAAACTGGTTTTAAAGCCAATACCCTTTTTATGGAAAACTTTCGACTGGGAAAATATTTGCCAAAGTTGCGCCAGAGCTCCTCGCTGAAGACTACTTTCTTGTTCGTCTTTTAGTCGTTAGAAGTGTAAACAGCGTCGAGGCTTGCTCCACAACTATGGCAACTATAGCCGCCTCTTGTGGCAAGCTGCACACAGACACTCACACACACACACACGCGGTCCATGAGGACCCCATTTCCTTCTTACCCGATCCTTCACTCCCCGCCAAGTATCCATGTTTGGTCGCTGCACTTTTCGCCAACTTTTGTAAGGCACTCACGTACACGCACAGGGCTGCAGCGGCGGTGCATGTGAGCGTGCGAAACGTGCTGGTTGCCAATTGTATTGCGTAAGTGTGCGCCATTGAGGACACTGCACTGAGAGAAAATATCATACAAATTGGTAGAGAGATGGAGATTTTATGAACAGAGATAGTTTCTATAGTTTCAATAGTTTCTATACAATTAGAAGAAAGAAGTAAAAGTAGTTTCTAATCGAGTTATAGCATTGTAATGGTAATGTCGAATATGTATTTATGTCGAAAATTTATTTTTCGACCAGACATGGCAAGATTGACTCGGCTTTTGATGCTGATCAAGAATACATATGATTTATATACCAAAGGCAATGTTAATAATTAAAATAGCATTAAATAATGTACTTTTTAAAATACAACTTCTTCAATAATATTTCAATCGATTTTCAAATAAATAGGACTCTCACATTCCCTACCTATTGTAAATCGTTGATAAATTACTTTAAATTCAATTCAATTATATATTCATATGATTTTTTCTCTCTGCTTGTGAATTTCCAAAGACCTGAGGTCTGGTAAGGCAATCTGACTGTGAAAGGAAGTGCTGAACCGACTGTCAAGTGGCGAACTCATGGCGTAATCAAATTATTCCCATGCCTGCGCCTGCCGGCCCGAATCCAGGGCTTACGGAGGTCATCATGCGTGTTAATTAATTCCAGATGCTCGATGCTCCGGCTCCGACTCCGGCTCTGACCCACTGACCAGACAGTCATCAGGAGGAGGCACGCGTGTGTGTCCACTGATCAATTATGCTAACGACTGGCAGCAACAGTTTCGCCCTTCTCTATTTCGTTAGCATTAAAAATTGAGCAGGCTAGGAGCAAATGTGAGCCGGAATGACAGTAGAGACACGTGCCTGGCGACTAAAATCAGGCCAGGTGATGCCGGAAGCCGAAATCCGTAGCCGGATGACTGGCAAATGATTTCTTCCTTGTGTCTTTCTATATATTCAAGGGAATGTAGTGTTTAAAGTGTGAGGAAGTCTTAAACGGAGCTTTTAAAGAAATAAGAATGGGTTTGAAGTCCTCTAAAAAGGTCTTAAAAATATTCTATTCATGTTTTCAGGTTGCAAATGTAGTGACACTTCTTGGCATAGTTTCAAGTTGTTTCTATGTCACCCCTGCTATATTACAATAGAGTCATTTCAACATTTGTATACTATAAAATCTATGATGTTTTGTTTAAATTAAATTCAAAACAATTCTACTCAATTTGAATTTTATATATTCGTTTATTGCGGCATTCTAATAAATTCAACTACCAAATGTATGCAAATAATTGTTGTTTCCAGCTATAAAACTGTTTAATTAAATTTACACAGCAATTTTCAACTTGACCGAAATTGGCCTAATTCCCTGGCACAAAGCAAACGAAAATGTTGAATTAAAATGAAAACTCATGCCGGCCACAAAGCAAAGACAATCCCAGCAGCCCGGCTGGCGACCACAAAAGAGTTCCTGGGAAAGGCTACCCAAACCGGCCGAAATGACATACCGACTGTGGCCAGATGGGAAACAGGGTGAAAATGCGGTTAGCTTCTGGGCGCATAAACATCCGCATATGACTGCTGGCTAACGGAGGTCCTTAAAACGTTACGTTACACCTGCTGCACTCCGTAAGTGGCCGGCACAGGGAGCAAATTGAATTTGCCACGGGGGGCGGATACGTAATGTTCGGGGGCAGCAACCGGGCCACCGGATATCCGCTGGGCGTTGAGGCGGCCTCATGTAATATGCAACAGCCATTCTCATTCTCCACGGCGAACGACTGCTCTTCCGCTTGCTCCACGCCGTGTGGCCGGATTCAGGTCGCACCGAGAACAATTGAATCCTTCGACCATCCCATTTCATACAATCCATGCAGCGCAAATTCAGGTTCCGCTGAATATTTGCCGCCTGCAGTTACCAGCTCTGAAATTAGATTAGATTAACTCGGGAGCGGAGGTCAAGTCTATTAGGAATTTTAAATGCAATTTGCGCTTATCGGGCGTGGATGAGTGTTTGTTGTTATTTCTCACAAAACTGCAGATAATTCTTATAGTAGACTTTATTCCGGACTAAAAATTAAAATGCGAAAGCTTTTTTTTTCTTATCATACAGCAAGGGAGAGATAGAAATTGATGTGTATTTTTCAACTAATTCAACAAAATACCTTTTGTATTTTTATAAACATATAAAAGAAAATCTTGTTAAGCTTTTCTGGTCCGGTTCTCTAAAAATAAAACAATTTTTTTAAATTGTATCAATTAACAAATAGAGAAAATGTTTTAAAAAACAAACTAACATTGAGCTTAAAATCAAGTAAGCTTGATTTAAAATTTACATGATAAAACAAAAAACAGACCCATTTCTTGTCAAGGACAAAGGAAGCTGTCATAACTTCCTGATGATTTGCAGCGATCTATCTGCAATGGTATAGAAACTTCAGCTTTCCGACGATATCTTCTTTTTTATTCTTGTTTAAAATACTTTGTATGTGTGTCTGCTTTTAAAAAGAGAGCTATTTTTTTATATTTGTTTTTAAATGATTTTTAAACACATTTTGACAACTGATTAAATGATTAAATAAAATAAAATTTTTTGTTATTCGCAACTTATAGACCGATGGCACTCTAGTCGCTTTTGTGCACTTTAGATCGTACGTACTCTAGTATATAGTAAACATTATCTATGTATATTTAGGTATATTATATCTGTAGTTCTCTGCACCCTTTATAGATGATTGCTTTTCGTATTCTCTTCGTATCTCTGCCGCATCGACTCTCCTCCTGCGTTCTCTTCTTCAAACTCATGTTGTACATTTGTTTTCTTCTACTTTCTTTCTTTTTATAGCTTCAAGCTAAGCAAAAAAAAAAAAATACAAAAGTAGTAAATGAACAAACGAACAAAATAATAAGAGCAATTAAAATCCAAATCAAAATCAAAACAATACATATGTAAAATTGGTGTGCAATAAACAAACAGAAAACAAGAAGGGTTGCCGCTGCAAACAACAACAATAACAACCAATACAACAACAGCTACAAACAGCAAAGTAACAACAATAACAACAAGTAAACAACAACAGAGTTACAGCAACAAAAGAACAACAACAACAACCAACAGCTCTGCTAGTAGATACCAAAAACTTAATGTAATATTTAACATTTTTATTGTCGAGGCACCCAAAGCAAAGTTGCATATTTTGCATAGTAGACTTTTAGGCGCCGCACACAATACCAATACAAAGAACACAACAACAGCATCAACATCAAGTGCAACATCTGCAAGCAGAGCAATCTGCATACAAAGCAACAACATCCATCCGAAACCGCAAACAACAACATCCGCAATCCAAGCAATTCAGACAACCACCATCGCCTCCTCCACCACCACCACGAACCACATGAGCCTGAACAAGATCAAGAAGCGGGACGCGAGCGACTTATGACTGATGCGCTCCAAGGGCAACGTCGGCGTCGTCAACGTCGGCGTCGCCGTTGGCAGTGGCAGCCGGTACAAGGTGACGGCCCGCTGCGTCCCGGAGGTGAGCATCACCTCGCCAACGAGCGTTGGATTAGCCGGATCCGGCGGTCATCAGCCGGCCATCCAGCCAAAGCACTTTGCCCTGCTGCGCAGTCGCTCGCAACCGTCGCCGCCGACGTCTAACAGCCTTTTCTCCACGCCTCCAGGCGGCGCCACTCTGGTCGAGGAGGAGGATTTCAGCTTGGCCAGCGGCAGTGGTTCGGCGGCGTCCAAGAACGTGCTCCAGCGTCAGCTGGCCACCACTGTCCAGCAGGAGGATCCGGATCTGGACCATATTGCGCAGGATCCTCACAGCAAGTTGCCCGAGGCTGGTGAGCCGCCAAATGAGCTGACTCCCTTGGTGGAGGAACCCGGCTTTGTAGCGCCCGCCACGTCGACCACCCGTTATAGCCATAACTCGAAGACCACCCGATCCTGGCCGGTGATCTACCGAAATCCCCATCACTGCGACTACGAGGCACTCTACGTCCAACAGCAACAGCAGCAGCAGCAGAGCTTTAAGCAAAACTGCTACTCCAACCAGTTTAAGCAGTCGATCGTCTACTCCAGCAGCAATGAGGAGCTACCTGGCGGAGAGCAGCAGCCGGTAGCAGCCTCAAGCTCCGACAACCGCCAGACCACTTGCTACTACTTCGCCCCCAGCCGGCATAACAGCATTTATGAGCACCCCTCCTCGGTGGTCGGGGGATCCCTGCAGTTTGATAATCCTACCACCACCCAAGCAGCGGCAGCGGCCGCCGTCGAGAGCCTAAGGCGGAGCAACAGCATCCTGCTGCGCCAGAACAGCTGCGCCAAAGTCATTCAACGACGCGGCAGTGGTAGTGGATCGCCCACCTCGCTGGGCTCGCAAATGGAGGGACTGGGCATGGGCATGGGCGGCGCTGGAGGGGGCAGCGCCTGCTGCTCCACATGTTGCATGGGTCCGCCGCCGGTGCTTTTTTTGTTCGTCACGCTGCTGATGACCACCAGTGCCACGGCGATGTTGTGCGCCGCCATCATGACCGACCACTGGGAGCACGTAACGTGGGATCGCAACAGTCTCGATCGTTACTCCAATCGATCGGGTCTGCACCTGGAATGGCTGCTGGATGACCAGGTGGCCATGCTCAAGCCGGACAAAAGAGGTGAGCTAGGAAACGATGCTAAGTATTATATATTATATAATATATATATACATTATATATTTTAAAGCTTACTTTCTTTTCTCCTTACAGCCGATCATCGTTTCCGGCGCGACTCTGTGTTCCTAGTGCCCATGCACGGCGGCATCTGGACGCTGTGCATCGACCTGCCCATGCAGCAATTGCAGGAGCTTCGTCGCAATCCCAAATTTCCGCGCGGTGCGCCGCCATGTGTCAACTACCTGGCCGGCTCAATGGAGAACGCTCGCGGAGAGGAGCAGCGCAACGACTGGCAGCACAGTGAGTCACAGGTCACTCTGCAGCCGCATCTGAGTACGTATCCTGGGGGCAATCCGAATGTGAATCCCGTTCCAAATCCACTTCTATCTTTCTTTCTCTGTTCCCACTCTCTCTCACATGTAACTTCTTGAGGCAATTTCCCGTATATTTCTGCTTTCCTTATTCGTTTCTTTTCCTCGTTTAATACAAAAACATTATTTAATATACTTTACGCTTAGCACTAATTGTGATTGTTACCTTACAGACTTATAGAGAATTTTGGTAGAAAACAGCAAACAAATAGCATAAATATGTAGAAGGGATAGGACAGTTGGTTGAATGCATGTGATTGGGATTTAGTAGCTGATGTATAGTGTGTTTGTGTTTGGGGCGTGGTTGTGGTTATGAGTGGATGTGCCATCGCTGGGCAACTGGAATGTCCGCCCTAGACGGCGGGTCGCTTAGCCGGTGAGCATAGTGCCTCGGCCTCCGAGCTGGGTTCCTCGGGCTTCTTCCGCTTGATCAGATGGGTGATGTCTGTGGGCTTGGCCGAGCTGCTGCTAATTGCCGAAGAGGAGGCGGCTGCTGTAGCGCCACCACTGGTTGAAGATGACGACGAGCTGGCTGCTCCATTGGTCGACGTTGACGAGGAAGAGGCAGCAGCAGCATCACCGCTGCTCACCGGCCTAATATAGCTGTCCAGGGCAGCCCGCACCTCGGCTATTGTCTGGATTTGAAATTGGAAACGTCAACCAAAGGTTAACGAAGTATAAATATTCAAAACTAACCTGAGCCTGCATCTCTTCAATTTCCTGTATTTTGGCCAGAATCTCCTGTTTGGTCTCCTCCAAGTCCAACATGTTATTTTTTTCGCGCTCACTGGGCTCGTCCTTGGCCTTAATATCAGCTATTTCCTCTTCGATCAGCGTGCTGGAGTGTCGCAGAGCTGTGGCTCCTTCCTTGTTCATCTGCTGCATCAGATAGGTCAGCCCGATCTTGTAGTGCAATTCGGCAAGCGCGCGTCGGTTCTTTGTTGGTAACTCGCCGTGGATCTTGAGGGCTTTCTCTGTTGTAAAAAAAAATGGCTTTACGTTTGTTACTTGCCGTGAGGAGATATATTTTTCAACCAAACCCACCGTAATCCTCGCGTGCCGGCTCCAATATTCCGTTTTCAAACTCTATATTGGCCAGCTCCGTCTGTACTTCTGCCAAATATTGGAGACCACCAAGCCCTTGGCGCGAGAATATCCTGGCTGCTGTCCCAAGAATCTCCCAGGCCAGCTGAAGACTGCCACTGACTCCCTCTTCATCGTCGCCACCGTCCTCTTCTCCACTTGCTGCTGCTGCTCCATTAGAGCAACTGGCTGTTACCTCGCTGCCATTCGATGTGCTCGGTCGCTCATCATCGTTGGCAGCACTTGTTCCACCGCCATTACTGCTGCTAACCTCATCCACTCCAGTAGGTGCCTTCTTGGCGTCCTTGCCGTCTGGCTGGACCTGCTCTGCTTCTCCAGTTGAATCGGCCTCGTCGGATGTCTCCTTGATGCTGTCCAACTCTTTGCCATTTGTGCTGCTTGCTCCATTGGAGGAGGCCTCCTCCTTTTTGGCCTCCCCATCCTCGCCACCACCTTCCTCTTCCTCGGCGTCATCGTCGTCTATGTCCTCGTCCTCCTCATCGGCGGCCTCATCGGGCACATCAATAACTTTATTTTCGTCCAAGGCCATAGCAATCAAAGATTTGCCATAGCTAAAATAGATTTTTGAAATATTAATAAATGTAAAAGACTTGAAGCAGCATCTCCTACTCACAGCAGCAGGGGCTGACCCAGCTCGTCGGCCAGATCCCCGTAGACTTCCGCGTATAGCTGGCACACTTGGCTCAGGTCATCAGCCGCCTCATCGTAGCTCTTCACCAGGAAGTTACGCGATCCCTGGCTAAATAGCTCCTTGGCCTTAAGTATTTTCTCGGAGCGTTCCTGCTCGGCTTGGCCGGATGTTTCCTCAGTGGAGACGGCTGCAACCACTGGAACATTGTCCGGGGTTGTATCGGCAGCTACGGGCTCCACGGCCACAGGCTTTTTAGGTGAGGACATATCGGCAGCAGCCGTTGTAACAATAGCTTCGGCCTCAGCGGACATATTTTCCTTGGACAGTGAACAGAAAGAGCTGTAATAGAAAGAAACTAATTATTTATTTATTCAATCTTAGAACTTAACTAATGAAACTGAAGGCAATATAGGATACAATCAAGGTGCAAACAAAACTATTAACTATATTTTTTAAATCTTATGTTTTCCCTACTTATATTGAGTTGATTTTCTTTAACATCACTCGCTGATCTCCCCACCATCCCACACCTACACCCGCCTCCAAATCTCCTTTGTAGGTTTGAGCCCTAGACCGTCACCTTAGATGTACATGTAGAAGGCCACAAGTATTTCTTTTTTCCAGAAATTCTGATAAATCGCATTTGTACGCACCACCACGAACCACGAGCTTTAAGCGCTGCCACCTCACCTCGATTCATTTCACGTGGCTTAAAATTTTAGCTCCAAGCTGTCGCACATTTCACAAGTCATTACCACAAATCCCATTCGGAGCAGTTCCAAGATGTGGGCGCACCCACAAATCCCTGGAGCACATCAGATAAAAAACAAAAGTAAGAACCAGACGGCACCAACAATTGCCAGTGGCAGGAACAAGAATGTAGTGTCCTTGTGGCGACTATATAAAGTAATTACCACAGCAGCTAACCGAGCTTGCCTCCGGTTTTCTATATTGTCAATACGGGTCGTTCTACTGCTCCCACCACTGCAGTGGCCATCCATGTCCCCACAGATGAAACATGTCCGTGTTGAGAGTTGCATGCTCACGATAGGAACTTCCGGAGGCAGAAAGGGATATAGGGTTTTCATATAGGTCACCGTGTGGTTTTGTAGCATTTCTGCTCCCTGCTCCCTCTCCTAACTGCGTTCTAAAATCGCAATTGCCACTTTGGCTTTTTATGCTGGTCCTGTGGCCCCACAGCACCCAGGATTTTAATTGCTGGAGTGTCTATTGGGTAATTGGTTTTACAGTTGCCTAGATTGTAAGCGGAAATTGGAGTACAGCCGAACCACAATGGATTTTACGGCAACTATAGAAAAGGCAATTAAATCAGGGAAATCCAAAATGGAATCACAAAATTAAAAGGACTTGTAAGTCTCTTGTAAATAAGTGACTATTATTTTAGTTTCAAGTTAGTGAATATCTTGAACTATCTAGGAATTTCCAGATCATTTTACTACATAACTTGGCTTTCGCTTAGCATCCCTACTTCATTCCATCATCCTCTGTAAATTATATCCCAACATCTTCATCTAATTATTGAATTCTTATACTTCTTCGAGAAAAATGTAATAACATTTTGTATCTTCTTTCTTAGGAATGCAAAATCTCTCCATATCCTGCTCATTGGTCTGCCTGATTATCTTGGGCAGCGCTGCACTTGTGGGAGCCTTTGGCGTCTGTCAGCGCCAAATTAGCGCCATACTCATCACGGGTGTGATGTATCTACTGGCAGGTTAGTGGGAGCAATTCCTTCGCCTCGAACTAGCATTCCTAGTATCTAGTATCTAGTATTGTTAAGTAACATTTTAATTTTTACAGCTTTGTTTGCTCTTTTTACGCTGATGATCATCCACTTTAAGCGGCAACAGGGGCGCCCCATGCTGGACAGTGACTACGATGGAACCGTCGATGGGATTGTGGCGCGTCCCGGTGGCGTAGCCATCATGGCCAAGCCCCTACTGGGTGCGCGCATCTTCCTCACCTCGTGGAGCCTTGATCTAGGCTGGGGAGGAGTGGTGCTGTGCGCCATCACTTCGGTACTGTGGATCCTGCTGTCAAAGATCATGCGATATAACCCCTTCTCGGCGCTCATGATTTAGCTAAACGCCTTGCCGCTCGGCGTATACGGAACCAGCTACGGCAGCCTGGGCAGCTGCGAAAGCTACGGCAGCTATGGGAGCACTCATACCCACAGCGGCACCAGTAGCGGCGGCAGCTCCAGCTTCCTTCTGGCGGCCGTTTCGTCGACGCGGCAGGCGGAGCATCGGGGCAAGGGCAAATACATCCTATAGATGAATGCTGCTCTGTGCCCTGGCTCTGCTAATCTCAACTAAACGGATTTCCCCCCTTACGCAACTTAGTTGGGATAAGCTGTTGCCGGGAATCTCACGTAATGCTAAATGAAAATCCTTTTGTTACTATTCACGAATTCAAAGAAAGAAGAAAGATCAGGCAGATTTGGTCTATGAAGAATTGAAGCTTGAAAGTTCTACAGTTTCATCTTAAAACTAATAATTTAACTTTGAAATATGTTTAAAATACAAGAAGTATTGAATGTTTGAAATGCTCGGCAGCACACCCCTTACTTTAGTCTCCATTTATTAGTTAGCTGTGTTGGAAAATGTACCAAACTTAAACTCAATTGCCTTGTTCTTGATATATACACACAAATTATACAACTTATACTTAATATTTATGCCCATTCTTATTAAACACTGTACTAAACTTAACTTAATTAACTTTACTTAACTTAGCCCAATTGTAAATTCAATTTACACTCTCTCTTTACAAGTAAACCCTTTTGTATACATTCGATTCGACTCTTATTATACTATATATACACCAAACACTAATCCTAGCTTCATGAGCATGTAACATGCGAAATGTGAGACATTATATACACGGAACAGACGACGGAGGAATCGGGATCGAAATTCCCCAAAGGCTTTGGCTTTAAAGTGCTTTATAGTAACAGTTCGCTTGCCTAGCATTAATCAAGCCCCAGCTATGTAGGCTATGACGGTTGCTTCAAATTAGACAGACTAACTGGAGAAATGGAAGAAAATAATTGGTAAAAAATCCTGGCAAAAATAACATATATACTACAGAAGATGCTAATGCTCTAGCCATATTTAGGCCTAAAAGGATCTGCAACCATTCTACCATTATCCTACCATCCAGTTGGTTAAGTAGAAATTTAGGAGCTTGTCATGACAGCATAACGACGAATTGTAGAACTTTACCGAGTACTTTTAGAGCTCCAGCAGAACCGAGATCATTCAGTGCTTTAAAACAAATGGTTTACAAAACTTATTGTACTTGTATAGAAGCCACCACAAACCGAACAAAATGCTAAAAGTATCAACATGTATTTTTATGCAAACGCTTTGCCTTAACGAAAGAAAAAACAAACAAACAAAAACCAAAAGACACAAAAACAAATAAGATTATATTATTTAAATACAAGAAAATCATTTCTTTTAAAATGTTTACAACATGGTCAACATTGTTTTTGTTTTTAAGGTATTCATGTAAGTATAAAAAAGTTTTACATTATTATGCCCTTGCAGGGTATTACAATTTCAGTCAGAAGCTTACAACGCAGTGAAGAAGTCATTTCCGACCCTATAAATCTTATATATTATTGATCAACATAAACAGCCGAGTCAATCTAGCTATGTCTGGCTTAAATTAATTTTTTCAAAAATTTTCCAAATTTTAGTATGGGTTCTCGTTAAAATTGTCAAAAATTATTTAAAATTTTAATAGTTTTAAATTTTAAATTCAGTATGCAAACCTTACCTTATTAACCTTACAAAAAATAACAAGGAAACGCTTTCCGAATTAAAATGAATGCATTTTTTTTAGTTATGATAATTTTTCCGAAGTTAGCTTTCTTGTTTTTAGTCTTCCCAGTTTTTAATATAGCAAATTTCTATAGATCCATTGAAACTTGTTTTTAAGGGACTTAAATAGGTTTTGTTTATTTCTATATTTCTAACGAGAACTGATTGAAACTTGAAAAACTTTAATTCATTCTTTTTAATTTCTAATATAAAAATATTTTGGAGGTAATACATGGGTCTGTACAAATTATAATTATTTTATCAGGAACATTTTTTTTTCTCTGTGTATAAAAACCAACTTGATCTATAAATAGCCAATGGACACATTTATGAAATTTCATTTAGCATTCAATTCTGTAAAAATTGTATTGCAAATTTCTGGCTCGCAGGTTCATTAACATTTGCCAAGCTGCTGTGGAAACAAATTGAGCAAACATGCAAATGAATTCGCACAAAAATTGGCAAAAAGCGAGACACTTTTGCGGGTAAAAAGACAGGGAAAGAGAGAGTGAAAAGGCAGAACGAGGATTACGAATAGCATAAGAAAAACAGAGCTGCTGAAAAGAAAAACCGGGCGAGGAAAAACACCATGTGTGTGAGCGAAAAACGCGCGGGCTCAAAACAATTACAAAATTCGCACACACAACGCTGCAAAGCAGCAACAATTTGAGATTACAAAACAACGCAAAAAGGTTCATTCACCTGTGTGTGCGTTTTGTCTGCTTTTTGCCGTTACGCGTTTATGCGATCGCAGATGTCACGAAGTGGCGTCTTGGCTTAGTGCGCGGGAAAAATGTGTGTTCGATTAGTTTTTTATCTAGTTTTGAATAAGTTGGAAATAGCATCCAGCTTTCCCGATGAATATGAAAATTTGTCTTATTTATTGCTTTGATAAGCCCCTAATGTTGCAAGCCAAAGATCCACAGAATTCAGTGGATGCTCAATTCATTTTCATTTCTATTGCAATTGTTCATTGTTTTGTTAAAAATCGAAACAAATGTCGCATAAACGTTTTGCGAAAACAGTACGCTTGTGTGCGTGTGCGGTTGCCGCCATTCGCCCGCGCCAACAAACACACCAACACAAACGCACACTAACACCGGCACAGGCAACACAATTGGCCATTTAGTTAGCGTAAATAACAAACTGCACGTTCCGCATATTTATAGCGAAACAGAAATTGCGACAATTAATTAATGTTTAGCACATACAACATAGTAGCAAAAGCAACGGCACAGACAAAGCGGGTCAAAACGAAATTCGCAAATTCGCGTGTCTCTGTTTGCCCGCCTCTGTATGGCTGTGTGTGTGCGTGTGTCTGCATCGGCATTTAGCCGTAAAAATGGTGGGAAACTTACTTATTTCTCGATCAAGAGTATTGCTCTCAAAGCAATGATATGTCAAACCGACTGATAGATTACTCGTAACACTGTAAACACCGTAAAACAACGCAAATGTTAAAAATTCGCAAATAAAACGGACAATCCCGCGAAATGCTGGAAGTTTTGCAATAGTGTGACCACGCTGTGGCGCCTGAAAAATCTCGTAGCAGAATCGATGAACGGTCGCACTAATTCAACGAGGCTGCCAACTCAACTTGAGTATCGGATACAAAACTTGCAACATATTTTTTTAAACTTTAGCTAAAATTGTACATTTAACTTGAAATAAAAGTCGATTTTCTTTTAATTTATAGTCCCTGTTTATATTCAGTGGACTTCCTATACGATTGAACGATTGAACTTCGATTTGCGATGCATGTCCGATATATTCAGCAGTATGCGGAACGACACCATAGAGTCACCCGGCAAATTTTCGACGAAACACAGTCGCAAGAATTTTTTATTCTCTTTTATAATCTTAAATTATATTTATGTAATGAAATTTCATTTAGAAATTCTAAACAATGATTAATGCGAACTTTGAGTTTTTAATTACTTAAAATTTCGTAAAAGTATTTTGTATGGGAACACTTGGTTTCAACTGCCGATATTTTCAGTCATTCCGGTATTCAGTTGTATAGCGAATCTCCAGATTATCTGCCTTGATTTCGAGTATTTACAAATCAATATCATTAACATCGGAATAAATTTTACTATATATTGAATGTTTTTTATATATTTTATTGTTATTATGAATTATGTTTAATTAATAATTTAATTAGGTTTTTTACTAATAAATAAATAATAAAAATACAAATAAAATAAAACGTATTAGATAATTTATTATTATTAGTTTTATTAATATTTGTATTAACAAAAAATACTTACCTTTGAACTGCTTTCTAACATTGGGTTCTATGTTACCGACGAGAATTTTACTCCATTTATCTGTACACGTGTAAATTTGTTTCTCTACTGGTTAGGTTTAAAATGTTAAGTAACAGCTTCGGAAACATAAAAACAAAAGACAAACAAATTTTGATATTTTGGAATTTTGATATATTTTCAATAACCAAAAACGACCCGATACCCGACAGCCAACGAGAGAGAATTCTATTAATTTACGCCAGATGAGAACAGATCTGGTAATGTATTTAACTTTCTACATGAGAATTCAACGTGTATGGACGTGTAAAATGTTATCTAGTCGTGTAAAATGTTGAGCAACAGCTTAGGAATTCAGTGTGACCAAAATAAAGTATAAAAAATATCTAGAAAAATGTCGTAACATCATTTTTTGGGCAAACTAAACATAACGACCCTACTTTCATTCAAACTTTAAATTTCGAAACGGACGAACGTGACGGGTGAAGTGAACTTCAGCTAAGCACTTCGATCTCGTACCGACACTAATTGGCAGCCGAACATTCGGGCAGTGCAATATTCACATTGACTTGTGCCACGCGATTAATGATCAATTTGGGCCTGAAGTTCATTCAGCAGGACATAGTTATAACGCAGCCGAACCACCCTCGTAACTTAAATATTTATACACACCACCAACGGAACGCACGCACTAAGTATATGTACTTACAACGCGAGTGGCGCCAACATAAGTAAAGCAGCGGTGATAAGAAAGAACCAGCAACAGACACGGAAAACGAAAGCGTACAAAAGAGGAGACACAATTATTGTAAGTAAATATCGAAGTTCTTTATATCCCCCTCGCTGCCATCTATTGATTTTTGTGTGTTTTTTGTGGCCCCCAAAGTTTTTGCCGCCTTCGCCTTGTTTTGGTCGCGTTCTGTTTTTGTTTTGTTTTGTGCTTTTGTTTCCGCCTGTATTGGTGTGAGTGTCTGTGACTGTAGATGTGCTCGCCTTGATATTTTCATTCAGGCTGTGCGTCTTCATTACCTCTTTCCTCTCAAGAGGACGGAGGGGGTGGGTGGTGCACCTGCCGTGCGTCTTATTTATATATTTTTTTGTGACTTTACGGCAGCTGCGAAATCTCAGCTGCTCCAAAAGCAAAACAACAACAAGTCAGCTTTCGTCGTTACTGCAATAACCGGTTTTCGACCGTATGAGTTTTATCGTATTTGAGAAACTGTGCTAATAACTGGTGCTATTTTTTCCGTTTGCCATATTTTATCGCTTCGTTACTCATATAATTATAAGCTAAGTAATATGCGAACGGAGTGTGTCAAATGGCGATAATTTTCAAATAGGGACCACTTGCTAATTTATTGTGTTTTTAAGCAGGAAACACATTTTGGCGCAGAGCGAAATAGTGAAAACTTTGCCACTTAAAACGTCCGTCAGATGTATTTTTTTTTTATTTGTTTGCCTGCCAACTTCAGTTGCATTTGACGGGAGCTTCCTCTTTTCTCAGTAGTTTTCTCTCTTTCGCTCATACTCCTACAATTACACTTAAAAAAATAGCACCTAATGGTAATTGTGCGATTTATTTTTGCTCTGTTGAAACTGCTTTTTTTTTCTAAAGATCCTTTTTGAATGTATGTATATGTCCTACGCCTCAGACTTTTATCTTATCCTAGTCTTCCCTACAAGCAAAGCATCAACAGCACCATATAAAATTACATTCTGTTGGTTGCACTCTAAAAGGGTATTAAAGTTTAAACTTTATGTTATTTTATAACAAGGGTGTAATTCAAGTGCAGTAATTTAGGTTCATATTTCGCCCACTGCACCTAACATAATAATACTTGGAGCAAGTCGGACATGCAGCAGGCAATTTCTGTAGGACCTGCTGACGTTGTAAAATAAGCCAAAGGCACACGCTCCAAGGATAACAGGCTCGACATGCCACAAAATCGATTCCACACGACGATGAAGCCCAATACCTTGGAGAAAAGCCGACACGTGATGGCTTGGCGCCTGGCTGGGAATTGGAGGAAAATGGGATAGGCGGGAAAACTGCCAGTAGGACGAGTTGAAGGAACTTCCTCCAACCCTTTCGGATTTTTTTCTTTTTTGCCAACTCTTGTGCAAACTGCGGCAAAAGACAAACGGGAGGAAAACATGCCGGAAATAAACTCAAAATTAAAGGGGACAACTCGTTTAGATATTTTGGGGGAACTGAACTCGAAATGTACATATAATCTAGATATGTATGTTCTTTGCATGTGGTAAATGTCTACTTTGTTCCCTAGATAACTTATCTATGATTATCTAAGCTTTGCTACAATTTGGGGTGATTTCAAGCTGAGGACGGGGATTACCAACCAACCAACCATATTTTAAAATATATAAAAGAGAACCGTTTTCCAAAGCATAGGGCAGAAATTTGTCAATTAGATATCGTATCTATGTTTAGTTAAGCTACGGAAATTAAAAAACATCAAACAGAATATGAATCGACAGAATCATAGAGTTTGGTTCAGAGCGGAAATAAGACGAATATTAACCTTAAATTGGATTGTAAAATTTGTGGTTTTGTGGTGGCAGAATATTAATAAATACCTAAACTTTCATTAGAAATAAAGCAACAAAATAAATTATAATTCTTAAGACCATTTTTACAATGCAATCAATTATCTTAATGGCCTTTTTATGTTCTTTATTTTGAACGTATCTCAAAGCTCGCATCGTCATAGTTAACCCAACCTCTGATTTCGCTTTAATTTATTTGAGAAACTTCAGCTTCAGCACTAAAACATATCAAAAATTCCAACCGGAATTCCCAGGGAATTCAATCACTTTCGCTTGGCAACTGAAGAATTTTCCCAACTTTTGTAGTGCGGCTGCTGGTTGGTGATTTTAGTGGGGGTAATGTGGTGGAGCTGGTTCTTCTACCGACTCCCAAACAACTTTGAACTATTCATGCACATTGGGAAATATTTTGTTTTTCCATTTTATATTTTCTCCCGGCTTCTTTTTATTATTTCGTCGAGGAGCAAACGCAAACATGCACAGACTCCTGTCCCGGCTGCCGTCTGGCTCTGTTTCCCAGGGGAGGAGGATGGGTCGCATGAAGTTGTTCTGTCTGGACTCCATCCACAACTGGCGGGTTTCCCAGTTGCTACTTCTCCTCTGGCCACCATTCTTTGTTGTCTCGATGGAAGCGGAGATGGCGAGTGGCATTGCCGATGGCTGTTTTATGACGCAGTTGGTCCGGGGAAGTTGAAGTTTGTTTGCGTGGCCGGGCCTGAAAGAGTTCATTCTTCTATAATGCATTAGCCTGGCTGAAGAAGTTGTCTTAGTATAGGATTTCTCTGTTTGTTTAAAACCAACATCAAGAGACAATGAGTGGCTGCTCCTTTCTTCCTTCCCCCTTTCCTAAAGTCAAGCCGAAAAAATCGTAGCATTATCGAAAAGTTTCCGGCTCATTAAAACCAATTTGCCTGAGACCATTTATAGAACTTTTTCGCCTTTGATGAGGAGCATCCATCCATTAGCAATAGACCGGATCCCAGACCAGCCACATGAAAATAAATAAACATTGGCCAATTTCAAATTAATCGACAAAGTCAACAGCAGCTAGAGTTCATTGAATTTGCAGCTGTGTGGGATTGGTTGCTGAAGGTTGAGGGAGCTGGGAATTGAAGGGGATATCTGTGGGGGTTTAAGGTTTCTTTCTCTCTGTCTCGATCCAAGCACGCGCCGTACCCGACGATTAGTCAGCCGGGTGAAAAGTGACTAAGCGAATCGCCAAAGCATTTGACCACCACACGAATTGGAATAAAATTCAAATTAAAACTAGACTCACGATAGAGGGGATTGGGTGGGTGACAGCCAATCGGTCACTTGACCCGCTGCAGGTACACCAATACAGTAAAACCTTCTTTTGACAGAAGTTTTAGAAGCATATAATGAAATTAAAATGTGGTTTCCTATCTCTAAATTTATTTAGAATAGAAAGAAAGGAAAAAAACAAGAGAACGACACTTTCAAATTTGTTTTTGTTGGCTTATTAAGTTTTATTATAATTGGATTTGAATGAGTAAAGCTTACAAATTGTAATAACATTGGACAGTGTCCATCTAGCAAATATTTCACTGTCTTACGGCAGACCAAGGTGGCACCTGGCAGACCAAGAAGACGGAGAAGTCCGCCCGGTGAACAGTCATTTGACACCAAAGACTGCAACATTATCTTAAGGCAGTTTGGATGGCGGAGCGGTGGGTAACCCCCATTCCATGAGCGGCGGACAAAGTGGCTCGCTGGTTGCTCAATTGCTGCGGGGCAGTTGTCGAGAAGTTGGCGTTTCTTTGTTTTGCCACAGTTCTTTGGCCCGGGCCTTGACTCCGTTTGAATTGTCTTTGTTACCATTAACATTTAATTTAATATGTGAGTTGAGTGGCCCGTCCCACACCCAACTCCAACTGGTTACTGGTTTTCTTTCCATAGATTTCCATAGTATCCCAGGCCCAGGAGTTGATTCGGCTAATTTGTATGCCAGGCGACAGGCCACAGCCGAAGGCCAAGCCCCAACCAGAACCCAAACCCAAACCGAAACCCAAGTCAGACGCTCTTGGTTGAGGCTTCACATTTAATTTATTCATGTAGGATTAGTCGTATATAAATCCTACATAAGTCGACGACAGCTGTCGCTACCTAGCTGGCCTGGGAAGACTTCAATGCAATTTATGCAAATTATTAGGTGGGCTTGCCAAATGTGTGTGTGGGGATAGGATCGCTGTTTTCCGCCAGATGTTTGCCAAATCCCACAAATAACCATAAGTTTAAAGTTGTTCTATTAGTTCCATCAAAAACATCTTTTTAAAAACAATTACCTGAAAGGCTTAGAGGGGCTTGTAACTTTGTTGCCAGATGTTTGATAGGCCAAAAGTAATTTAGCCTTAATTCCACACTCGACCCAAAACAATAGGCTTGATGGGGCACTCCTTTGATATCGCTCGCGCAAGCCGAATTTCTCGCCTTGCCCCACATTTAGTTTATTGTTTTCGGCTTGTGGCAAGTTCTTCAAATACATATATACAGTTTGTCAAGTAATTCTTTGCAAAACGAAAAATCCCTCACAATGTTGGGTTTAAACTGAAAATTTATTAACAAATACAAGAATTTTTAAAAATTTTCTTTTATAATATTATTAGGATAACTTTAATCTATAAATATAAAAAACAAACTTAAATATTTTATCTTAAAACATAGTAAAAAATGGCAATAACAAAAACATTGCAATTCGTATGCTGTCAATTAATTCTTTGCAAAATGCAAACAGGAGTTGAAGAGGTTCCTAGAATTAAGCAACGCAAAGCAAATTCTGAGGAAAATTAACGCTTGCCACTTCTTAGTGGTCTTTACTTTTATATTCTTGAAAAATTTCGTTGGAAAAAGTTCGTGTTTGATCGAGTCCAGAATTTAAATCATACCCAGCAAACGAATTGACGATAATAACATAGAATTGGTTTACTTTAACCATTATAAAGGGTAATCGGCGTCGGAACATTCCGAAATTTTTGATATTTAGTTAGAACAATGTATAAAATAATTAAACGGTCTAAAAACCAAAATAGACTTGACCTGTACAATTCTACAGGCAGATTACCAAAAGCTCTCCAAACGCGACCATTATAAAATTTCGAAACAAATTGATAAAAACCCGCCAACAACCCTCAGAAAGTTGGCTTTGGACTTATAAAATTATTGCAGAAAAACAGGTTGCCATGAGACTGTGAGGAAAGTCCTGAATCTCCACAAATACTCCTCACACATTGCCAGGAAGAAACCAATGCTTTCAGCTATAAATATTGAAAGGCGGTTTAATTTCTCTATCGGCCACGTTAACCAGCCTTCTGAGTATGGGGATGAAGTTTTTTTTTGTGACGATACTAAAATAATGCTGCACACTCATGGCTGACCCAATAAAGTTTGGAGGAAACCAAACACATGTGTCCAGCCGAAAAATATCATACCAAAATTCAAATTTGGCAAGTTTTCTGTGATGATAAGGGGGTGCATATCATCCAAAGGAGTTGGTGAGCTGCGGATTTTTAATTATATAATGACGAAGGAGTTTTATTTGGACATCCTTAAAAAGAAATTGACCAGAAGCGCGGAGAAATTTGGTCTCCATGACGTAACTTGTCCAAAAAGAAATAAATATTAACTGCACCAGGAAAACGAACTCCAGCTCAAATCGCAGCTGTGCAGGACCTGGCTCCTGTTAATTGCAAAAAAGTCATTGACACTCCTGCGGAAAGCCCAGATATAAATATGAATACAAAATTTTTGGGATTTTTTGGAAAAGAAAGTGACTAAACGGACTCCAACAAATAAAAAGGGTTTAATTAAAGTAATACAGGAGAAATGGGAGAAAATTCCTGAATATTACGACTTGAAGGGGCTAATAATGCCAATGTCGCGACGCCTCCATGCTGTAATAGATGCAAATGGACTTCACATAAAATATTAACGCCGCAGCTATTATAGTTTTTAAGTTATCCTTGGTAAACTATAACGTCTTTGCAAATTGCAAAGAATTAATTGACAGCATACGAATTGCAATGTTTTTGTTTTTGTTATTTTTTACTATGTTTTAAGTTAAAATATTTAAGTTTTGTTTTTTATATTTATAGATTAAAGTTATCCTAATAATATTATAAAAGCAAATTTTAAAAATTCTTGTATTTGTCAATAAATTTTCAGCTTAAACCCAAAATTGTGAGGGATTTTTCGTTTTGCAAAGAATTACTTGACAAACTGTATACTTACTTTATTTTTTTGGTGGCTGAAACCGGGCCAAGTGGCGCGACCCTAAAAGCATGAAAACAAGGGAGAACATGCAAGTAGGAAATGCAAGTCGCAGAACTGGGTGGGTTTTGGGTTTTTGGGGTTGAGTGGTCGTTTGGGTGGGCTTATGTGGATCCCTATTTGGGTGGGCTCCTGGCATTGCAGGGAAGTGTGACTGCCATAAAACAAAGGATGTTTCTCCACTTCTGACACACATCCAAGTCCCAGAGGCTGCTTTGCTGCACTTTCCATTTCTCCATTCTGTCAATTGATGTCGCATTGAGATGCAGTATTGTTGCAGTTCCATTTCCAGATTGAGCGGAGGATGCGGAATTCAGAGCGAGGAAAGACCCCATTAATGCAAATTGTTGCAACAGGAAATGAGGCGTACCACCACGCACCCGGCAAAAACACCGAACACGCCAATTAGGTGGCAATTTATAAGAAATGTTTCGGGAACGGGGAATGTGGAAGAGGCCCCGAACCCCATACCGCCGCTCCTTTGTTTCCTCCACAGCGACACCGACGACGACGACGACTCCGGCGATGTTGAGGTGAAGGAACTCCTTTGTGATTGTTTTCGTGCGGTTTTTACATTATGTAAAAATTTTAATTGCCAGATTTTAATGAAGCCCCAGGGCTCCCCTTTCTGGTGGCGGGTCTAATGCATTATTTATGCAGCTGACAGCTTTTCCAATGAGTCAACACCTGTCCACACACCCAGTTGGTGGGGTCAGGTTTCAGGCCAAAAGCTTTTCGATTAAAAACATGAATAGAATGTCTGGAATTCGGGTTTGGGTGGACACAGTTAATGTACCATTAACATATGCTCGAGCTGAATCCACAGACAACATTCTGCTTAATGCATTTTCTCCTTAATATTTCATATTCACATTTATGACTTGATAAGCCCTGACGACTGGAATGAAAAATGATTGCCAGTGAGGAAATGAAAATTAAGCTTTTCATTATTTATATTCCAAGACTATTGCGCCTGTGGTTGGCACTTGCCGGGTATGTGGTTTATGGAACCGGTTCCATATGTATAATACCCCAATATAATACGTAATTCCTTATGGGTACAAACCAATATACTTATTAGCATGTTGGTTAACATTTAAATTAAAAGTTTCTTAAGCAAAGCCTCTGAAAAATATTAAGAAATCGAACTCAACAACTCTTTGACTATTAAGTGCAGCTGCAAAGTCATAAACAACCATGCAAGGAGGCAAGTTTTTCCCGGAAAAACTTTGATAAATGGGGCTTTGAAGTGCCTGAAATATTTTTTGGCAGCTCATAAAGCAAGCTAGCAAACAGCTCTATTTCATCTTGAGCTTATCGGCCTTCAACTTTCTTTCGAGGAAAACACGCAATGATTGCAACAAATTTTCACTTTCGTGTCTCTGCTTTTGTAGCTTCTGGTTTTTTGTTGTTGTCTGGCTTAAACTCGCACACACACAAAAAACGGCTTTGAGCGAGCTGCTGCACTTGACTTGGGCTAAGTCTGAAAGACTAAAAGACCCACAAGCCCCACCGACACCACCTTGAGATTCCACACATAATGCCCCGCAACTTGTTGACACTTTTGCCGAGAGCGAAATGCATCCAAAGTCATGGGTGTGGGTTTGTTTGCTAGCCGCATTTGCTTAGAGCTCTCAGCCCCAGAAGAATTGTTTACTTTGGGGCTATATTTATAATAGAGTAGCTACTGGCTCAGTAAAAAACAGCTGCAGTCTTAAATAGCTAGCTTAAAGTAAGCTCATCGAATTGTGCATCATGTTACAGTCTTATATTTCAAGGTTTAATAATGTTAACATATAACTTCTTAGATATAATGCAGTCTTGTTTAAGTTTGTATATACAAAATTGTACAATTGCGATTAAACCTTACGAGCTATCATAATTCTATAAATATCTGTATTGGCAGTGTAAAGTGTTGGAGTGTAGATATAGATCATATCCTTTCATATACTTCTTATTCAGATCAGTCTTCACTAATGGTAGGGTGCTGAATGCTGGGTACCGCAGGATCAGCCGGTTCTCCATTGACAAACTCGCAACGAGGATTGTTTCCCAGTCGGAATCTCATACGTAGGGGTCCTTTTTTCAGGGGTGTCATGCTGGCCATGTCCATCGGATATTTCGGAATATCCGGCTCCTTTGCTACCATTTCCCCGGTGGCAGCACTTTCCCCAGGCAGGATGTGATCCACAAAATCCTGGGGTAACATTTTAGGTATCTAAAGAACTATGTTTAAGAGATAGAAATAGACTAAATATTATTTAGTACCTGGATCACGATATAGGTTTCGACTTGTAGTTCCTTAGTTTTCCTTACACAGGCAATAACAATGAATTGAATCTGATTTTGAGCATTGACTTTGCTCCAATAAGATACGCCTACTATCCACATTATTGGATGATGATCGTATTACATAACATTCTCATACAAAATAGGGAAACTATCATACACCAAAAATATCCCTAAAGACAATGCAAAAATCATTTCTAATATGGATCCCATGTCTGCGGAGGAGGAATTCTCCAAAGAGTTCTGTTTTTTGTTGTAAATTTAATCCATTTTGGCATCAACATACTTTTTAATATGCGGAACACCAGACGGGCATTAAAAGAATCTCTGGGCGGACCGGAGAAGCTGCCGCCACATCTCATTAACCCAGTGAGTAAACAAAAATTCCGCACATCTGATTAAGTCATGGAGCGAAGTAAGATGGGTTTGGAGTTGGCATGTGAAATGCCAAGTCAAATAAATCTTCTGGGAGAAAACTGCAAAATATTTCAGACTTTTATTGGGTGGCCGCTCTATAAATACAAGCCAATGCGATTATTTATAGTCGGAGGAAGACCAAATGGTTTATTTTGGTTTCGGGGCATAAACAAAGTTCGAGCAACTCACGAGATCTGTGCCACACATCCGATAATATTTATACATTTGCCTTTATACACTAGACATTGTCCCGCCCAGGTCTTGCACAATGATCTCACTTTGCCTCGTTACGATTTCCCCATTTTCACGCTTGATTAGCTTCGAGTGTTGAAAATTTCGATGGTACCGAAAAATCTCATCGAAATGTGTCGATTGATTGTGGCGCACGCCTCAGAATGGGTTCGCCGGTCAGTGGTTGATTTTTGGGGGAGTGTCGTTAGTGTCATGAAGTTTGTGATAAATGTTATTAAAGTTGCACCTTTAGTAATAAATAAATCAGGCTGACGACTATTACAAGCAATAATTTCTTTATTTAAGTGAGAAGTCTGTTGTTGAATGAGAACTACAATTTAGAGAACACATGTCTTAAAACACTCTTTATTAACCAAGTTAATTCCCAGCACGTGCCTTCAGGTGGACAATTGCCAGGTCTTAAGTATTATGTGAGCAGCCACAATGGCTTCTCATCAGCGGGAACAAGCTCAGCGGAATTGAGTAGCCACCAAGTCACACTCAAATGCCCTTTGTGTGTCAAGTGACGGTGATGATGATGATGATCTTTATATGATGACTCTGATTGACGTGGATGAACGTGGTAGAGATGGGAGGAATTGGGGCAGTGTCAGATGCGAGGAACTACAAAACGCTGGCCTGCGGCTGAGCTTGAATGTTGGCTCTTGTGGTGCAGCGGCTGTAATCTCTTTGGCTGCACATTTAATCGCATATTGCACATTGTTGCGGCCAAATTGAATTGTTTTGCGGCGACTCGAAGTGGAGTGAAGTGGAGGCTAGTAGAGGTGGGCTTTTCAATCATCCGATTGATTGCCATGGGCCAGCATCGCTGCACACAGATGGCTGCACCTCGATGCACCCACAGTAATGTAACCACATGTGCACCCACTCTGCTCCCCATGGAACGAAGGCCTTTGTCTCGGCTCTGACTTTTCAATTCATTTGATTTGTATCTTTGAGATGGGGAATATGTATGCTAATGGCAACCGGGGGTTGCTGGTTTACTTGGGTTAATTTGATTTTAATGCTTGGCCACAAGGAATGCGGGTGTGGTGGCAATCAGATCAATACTCGGCAATACTTTGCCAAGAAATCGCGCATCTTGCGGCCACCGCACATGGGAGGTTGCAATTGAATTAATCGCTGATTGATTGATTGATTTGTCGTGAGTGAAGTCCAAGTTCAGCGAAACTTGATCAAGATAGCAATTAGTTCAAGGTTCAAGTGGTTTTCGCATTCGATGATGGCCAGAGCATAGAAAGGCACTCCATCAAAATGAACAGAACCCACGCCATTAATCGACATCATTTTCAATTCACTCATTTGTCAGTTGAAGTGCTCAAATGCCGTAAATTAAAGTGGTTTATTGTGCTTTATTTTTATTTTGTGAAAATTTTTGCTTGGAATAATTGCCCCCACATCAACAGACTACTTTCAGTGCCGACTTTTGTTGTTGTTTATCATTTATATAAATCGTTTTGTGTGTACAGCGTCTAAAGAAAAGCATCTTGACGGCAATTGTGGTTGAAGATTAGCATTTATGGTTGTTCGAATCCATTGTTATCTTTCTCTCTGGTGGATGTTGTGCAATGTCTATCAGGTAGTTGAGTGCAATTAAAAGTTGCCTGAAAGAGATGGATGGATGGGTTCTTCTACCAGCACCCTTTATTTCTTTCATTTGTTTGCTCTCCCGTATGATATCATCTTTCCGTTGAAACTAAACTTGAAGCTGTCAGAATTTTTAAACTCAACATCTGCTGGGGTTCCAGGTTGCCGCAGGCTTTTGCTCGGCCATTCATTAATCATCAGTGATGCTTCGTGTGAACACCAGGACGAAGTGAAGTTAGTACTGGCTTAAGTATTTCCAAAATATAATTTAAGAGAATCTAAATAATCCATAGAAACATAGAAATATGTTAGATATATTTAATTCGTTTGATATTCCATCATTTAAAGGGGCTCTGAGGTGGGCATCTCTGACATAGCAAACAGACGAAGAGCCCTGCCAAGAGCTGCGTCATCTGAAACCCATCTGGGGATGGGATTCCTGTGTCCGCATCAGTGTCTCCTGCATTCGCAATGAGTTGACTGAAAAGCCCATTCAGGGTTGGCTTCCTCCGCGCCTGGAAGCCTCCACCTAATGAGGGAGAAGGGTTTTTTTGTGTGTGTCTGTGTGTGTGGCCAGGGAAGGATGCAGTGCCTGCGGCAACTAAAAAGCACATCCCGTCATTAGGAAGCGTTGGTGGTGGAACGAGGAATGACATCAGTTATGCGGCTGCCACTGCAATTTGCTTGTAATTCTTGTCGTGCTTGCTCGGCCCCATTTAATTGCATAATTTATTGATAATTAAATTAAGCTCGAAATTAAACTTTCCTCTTTTGCAGGAGGGAATGCAGCTGGAGTGACTCAACTCCCTCAACAATTGCCGCAGATGAGGTGAACGAACTAGTGGTCATCCCGCCACCCGAGCCCTTCCCTCTTCGGCCTCTGCAGCATCTATTGACAGACGACCCTCCATCTCGCTGGCAATTAAGAAATCCCTAATTGGAGAGTTAGAGAGCTGCCGGAGCAGAGGAGGGAGCATCCTCTCTCAAGATGCCGTCTCTGCGCCAGAAGGTCACCACCTATTTCCGTCAGTTGAGCTTCATCGCGGAGCCTCGCGAGGGTAGGCGGAGGACCAGCGAGCACGAGGATGAGGACGGTAACTTCATTACCAAATATCTCGAGGGGTGAGTCCATAGTCTATAGAAGTACAACCTTGCGCCTAAAGCTAAAAATTTATAACTTAATTTAACTAAACCTCTTTATTTTAAGGCGGATGCAGCGACTGTTTGTTGCGGGTCCGGAGATTTACAATGGCCAGAATCCCACAGATATGCCCGTGCTCAAGCTGGGCTCCTATGAGGCTGGCACCTGCTCCATAACAGCCGCCTGCACGGGACCGGATGAGGGTCTGACCGGCATTAAGCGCTCCAAGCTGCACCTGAGCACCAGCTTTGCGGACGACATAGACTTTATAGACACGCAGCAGGAGAACGATGATGCCTATGGTGTTAGGAAGAGTACACCGCCGGCTCCGGTGGTCACACAAAACTCCACTCGATTGGCCAGTAAATTCGGACGACCGCCGACCGGATCCCGGAGACAAAGCAATGCGGATCAGCCATCCGGATCCACTACTGCTTCTGGAATGCGCTCCCGCAAGAATTCCAAGAGCAGCATAGCCAATCTGACAGCAGCTTCTGCTGGAACTGATGCAGGAAAGGCTACCACCATCGTGGTGAGCATGGTGAGCGGTGATCAGAACAACAGAAATCTCTTGAATGCAAAGACTGAGGCCTTGGCGAATGGTGATTCCAATTCGGAACGAGAGCGTCTGCTCCGCGAGGCGGTGAGCAATCAGGGAGGTGCCGCTCCAGCTACGTTGGTTGCCGGCGTGGAGAACTGGCGCATGGAGTGCGATTTTGCATATGGCATCTCGGTGTCCCTGTACGAGAACAATATGCTGACCAAGGAGCCGATGGGCAATCCCATTGCCGACTGCTATGGCATGGTTGTGCGTGGCGATTCCGCAATCATGGCCATGGCAGATGGCGTTAATTGGGGTGAGTTTTACCAGCTGACCATAAGCTCACCAGCTGACTTATGTATCATCTTCCATAGGGGATGGAGCTCGCCTGGCTGCACGGTCGGCTGTGCACGGATGCCTGGACTACTTGGATAGGGCGGTGTTCGGTCAGGCGCTGGAGTGCCGAGCCACCACCACCCAGGAGGTATTTGTCAGTCTGCTGCGGAGCTTGTGGGAGGGACATGGTTGCATCTTGGAGGTAGGAGGAGCTCTGTCGACGCTGACCATTGCCGTGGTGCTGCCGCTGGACGGAGCGCCAGGCAAGTATGTGGTCTGCGCCTGCAACGTGGGTGACTCTCTGGGCTATGTGTACTCCAAGAAGCACGGAGTCCGCGAACTTACACAGGCCTCGCATGATATAAGCTCCATGCGGGACATGCGCGACGCCTTGGGTGCCCTCGGACCAGCGGATGGCAACAAGCCCGAGCTTAGCAATCTCACCTTCACAATGAGCTGCATAGAGAGCGGCGACATTGTGTTTCTCACATCGGATGGAATTAGTGATAACTTTGATCCCGTTGTGGGCAAGTTCGCTGAGGCCTGGACGCCGGACGTCAAGCTGCAGTCATCAGGGCAAGGGAAACCCGTCAATCTGGCGCCCAAGCGGCAAAACAAGAGTGCCTCGGCCATCTATGCCCGTCTGCATCCATCAACGCCACCCACGCGACCTGCCCGTCAATCGAAGGCGGACAGTCCGCCGAGCAATGCGCCCAGTCGTCCGAAGTACATGCGATCGCAAACTCTTATAGAGCCACGACAGGGACTTGTATCCGCTCCTACGCCCTCGGTTACGCCACAGCGCATTCCCAGATCAATCTCTGGCTTGCCCCTGGTAACTGGACCTCAGAGACATGCTCTGACCCTGTATCGGCTGGAGGACCTGCTCAGCTATGGCATCAATGGCACCTTCTCGCCCTGCTCCTCAGCCCGAAGGCTTTGCCACCTGCTCATTGACTTTGTTAGGATGATAACATCAGCCAGGAGAAAGACTCTGGAGCAACGGGAACTCTTCTACAAACTTTCTACGGGACCGGATGGCGCCAAGCGGGAGGTGCAACTGAATCGAATGCAACACCGGGCAGCCAGGAAGCGGATTGTGGACAGCAGTGCCTTTGTGGCTTTGCCTGGCAAACTGGATCACGCCACTGTGATGGCCTACACGGTGGGTGGTGGTCATGGGGACAATGGAAATGAGAACGGCGATGGAGAGGTAGCGGTTTCCCCCGTACTGCAATCCAAGGAGTTCAAGGAGACGAATTTCTAAACGCTAGACTGCAGAAATCAGGCTTTTTATAAATTTTTCTCACTCACATATGGGTAATTCTTGCTTAAATGGTTTTCTTTATAGTCAATTATAGATTTGTGGATTAAGTTTGTTATATTTTTTTTGTTTTTAATAATTTAAACTATTTAATGTTACCTAAACCCAAAAAGCACAAATCATATTGTTAGATTTTCGCCAAATATATATTAATTAATATCTTTGAGTTTCCAAGAAGAAAAGAACCGCTCAGAGAGCAATAAACACTTTAATACTTTGTTAATTTGCCAATTTTACTGCCTAAGATTAATTTAATTATAATCTGTTTTTAATTGCCAATCAATGTAAAATAAATATGTTATTGATCGAACAAGACACTACATTAAGCCAAGAGTTACCCTTATGCACACATTACTACATATATATATATATTTACATATACCATTTTATACATGTATCTTCAATATTCATAAACTCTCGCTTAAGTTTTGTTGATTTTGAATCCGATACTCCTTATTTGTCAGCCATAGATTTTTAGCCATTAACTTATGTACGTGGATGTGTTAGCTGCAATCGACAGAAATGCCTCAAATGTTTTAAACTACCAAAAATAATAAGATAGCACACACACAATAAAATGTATGTCGTATTTTTACACTCTCATTCGAAGTCAACACTAGCTGCAGGGTGCTTTAATTACCACCAAACTCTCATACAATTTGTAATTCTACATCACGGCAGCAAAGACAAACTAAATAAATAAGATAAGATAACGCTTATACATTTGATATAGAATCACAGTGGACCCAAAAATCGTATATGCATCTTATGTATTTATATTGGCTTTGGTGTCAGCGTAGAAAGTTTATAACGCACAGCTTAAACTGCAGAATGGGCTGTGACAAGCGGGCCAGAGCAATCGAATAATTGAATAAACGCATTGAAGAATTGCGCTTTTTTAAGCACTAAAATGTTTTTGTCGTTTTCATTTTATTGGGATTCATTGAAACCACGCATTAAATAATTGTTTTTATTTTTATGTAAAAGCATCTCGAAATTTAAACACACTTGTAATTGCACAGAAATTATAATACAAAACGATGTTGACACTTTATCATCAAATGGTGTAAAAGAACACATAATCAAGGTAGACTGATGCCATAAATCCGTAAAAGATTCATGCACAAAACACAGGAATATATATCATAGGAAAGCTAGCTTTAGTTCCTACAAGCTCGTTTTTCAGCTGTTGCGCATGCGCATTAGCAGGTTGGCAATAGCCTGTGCCTGCTTGGGTGAGGCATCCTTTACTTGCTTGTACAGTACCTCCACACTGCGCAAAGTTTGGGGCTGCGGAGAGAGAGTTAAGCTCACAAGAACATACTTAAGCTATAATAAGAAATATTCAACATACGAGAGTCTTGACATCCAGCTGCGACTGAGCCTTGTTGGCCAGCAGCCATAGATTCACGGCCAGTTGAGCGACGCTTTCCTTCTCCAAGTCTGCATACCGAACGATCTTTAGAAATAGTTCCAGGGATAGCTCCGCCTGGGAACGTTGTTGTTGGGCCACTCCCAAGGACTTGAGCTGGACGAGGATGGCATCTACAACCTGGCCGCACATATTATTAACTTCCGCCAAAAACTTGGGATCGTGGCCATACAAGTCGTCATTGGAAACCACTGCGCAACAGAATAAATGTAATACTTATCTCTATAACAGAGCTTTCTTTTACCTCCGCGAATGTGATAGGGAAACTTTTCCAGGCTCTGCACATAGAGCATATCCAGGCAATGCAGATATATGATGCTTGGCGCAGTGCTGTCCGCTTTAAACTCATGCCTCCCGACCACGTCCAGCAGCAGCCGAAGGAAGTACAGGACACCTTGCTCTGGACTATCGGGTACCACAATCAATGTGGCCAGCATGTTGCACAGATAGGTAACCAGAAAACGTTCCAGGCTACGTGGCTTCCCCTCAAAATCCACGGTTGCCGCGGGCAGCTCGTTGACCAAGTTTAAGGCAGCCTCAAAGCAAGCATCGGCTAATATGATAAATATATATTTATGTAGGAACTTCTAAAGCAGTCCTCACAGTACTTACCCTGCCCCAGGCAGAGATGCTGTAAGGCCAGTTGTCCGCAAAGCAAATACAAATCCATTTGCTGCTGGACAGCCCCGATGCTGGGAATGGTGATGAAGCAATAGGCGATGCAGGCCTTGACGAAACCAGTTGACTTGGATCGATTCCGTGTGGCCAGTTTGCAGGCAGCATGGACCAGAGTAACATAGACCGCATCCAGATTACTGAACGTTCCGCGAGCCTCCACATAAAAGCTGAGTTGCTGCTCCAAGTCCCTTCCAAAGTACACCTTATGGATGAACACATTGATGAGCTGTGAGATCTGACGTCGCTCGTCCTCCACAGTAAGAGCACTATGTTGTAAAAAAAGTCATTTATTATTTTACCATTCATTGATACAGCAAGTCACATACTTTACGGAGTCATTCAGGATCTTGCCGAGATACATTAAGGCATTCGTGACCACAGCATCGCTGGTGTACTCCTCACTGTTCTGTTTGTAGTAACTAAGAATGTTCTTGCAGACTTCGACGCGCACCGATTCCTTTTGGAAAAGATCCAGGTAGGGCAGAAAGTTCGGCTGTATCAGCAGTAGCTCAATGCTTCGGTAGTTCTGCATTATTCTGGTAAGAATATTTTGCAACTGGGAATAGTGCTTTTCATAAGCCTTGCCCAGGCACATCCGAGCATTTAGTTCGCCCAGAAGTCGATTAACCTCATGTATCTGTTAAAATAATACGTTTTTTTTTATTAAATTAGAAAATTATAAAAGACAAATTTAAAATTCCAATAACATCGATCCATTGAATATATGATAGTTCACCTCACAATATTTAAACTTGATTTAGAACTACATTTAGTCTTTATCTTTATATATCCCTGCAGGGTATTATAATTTTAGTAAAAGTAAGTATTTATATTCTTGATTAGCATCAACAGCAGAATCGATCTAGCCATGTTCGGTCAAAAAATAAATTATCGAAATTTTTTCAAAATTAAAAAAAAATATAAGGGTTTACATCGTTAAAATTTTCCAAAATTTGAAAATTTGTAATTTTATTAAAATTTTAAATTGAATATACAGATTCATAATATTCATTCATAATAATAAAAACTAATGTGGGAAAGCATTCCGAGTTAAAATTTATGCTTTTTTGGCTTAGTTATAAGTTTTTGAATCTTTGATTTAAATAAAAATTTAAAAAAAAACGAGTGTAAATATTTTACGCTTAGTAAGTAATTCAAATGTAAACTTCATTTTAAATTAATCATCATCATCATTAATTAATTTACAATAATCGATTAATTTCAGTTCCTCAGTTCTTTATTGGCATTACATATATAAATATATGGTATACGCAGTATAATTGAATCAATATTTTCTGACATTCCTACTTGAGACCTCTTAAACACCAGGTATCTCAAAGTCGATCCCTGATGCATTCTGACTTTGTAATTAATTAAAGTACATTAATTTACATGATACTGCCACTAATTATGCTTATAAAACATTTTCGAGTCGACCAATATTAACATAATCCAACGCAACCTAGTTCTGTTTGGTCTGTATTCCAGTCATGTGCTGCATAGTCGCTAACCTTCTCAAGATACTCATTATTATGTTCTCAACTTTGTTATTACTTGTGATAGGCATGCAAATGCTTTTCGATTTTAACGATCTTCGAATATGTAAGATATCTCTTTTTATTAAATAACTATTTTAATCAAATTGAATTATTTATCGATTTAGTGGGTTCTGTCCAGAATCATATCCCTTATAAATTCTGGATAGAGCATTGCTTTTGCGGAACATTGATGACCGTACTCAAACTGAAGGTTTCAGAAAGAACCCATATATGTCCAATAGTTTGACAACCCTACCCTAATCGTGTATTCTTCTCTTTTAGGATATATGCTTTCTTTATTGGTGGCAATTGATGACATCGGCCTATATTATAGGCGGTTTATGTATAAATTACCTGCAGCCCGAGAGTGACAGTTTCGGCGTGAGCCAGAGGGCCACAAACTACTTGGTTCTCGGTAGGATAATGGTATAAATATTATACATTTTTGTATATATAATATTAGCATTTATTTTAGAATACATGCTGCTAACCCTTTTATCAGTCGCCTATTATACCAGGGCTTTAAGGACACAGCAAGAAGTGTAATAATAAAGTTCGTATCTTTGAAATTAATTAAAATAGATTTCTTTAATTATCCTTAAATCGAAAATTAATTTCGATATAAATGACGTAAGCAATGCCTAAAAGATGAAGGTCTTGTAAATAATTACACGAATTATTGAATCATATAAAGAATATACAAATGCAGTATCAAATTATCAATATTTGCTGACGTCCCTACTTCAGACCTCTTAAGCACCGGATATTTCATAGTCGATTCCTGATGCATTTTGACTTATTATTAATTGAAAGTACATTAACTTATATGCGACATCCACTTATTAAGCTCATAGAACACTTTCGAGTCCGCCGATATCAATAAAACTCAACGCAACCTAGTTCTGTTTGGCCTTTATACCAGTCATGTGCTGCATAGTCGCTAACTTTTTCAGAATAATTATTATTATTATTTCAGTTTTTTTTTTATTTGTGTTAGGCATGCAAATGCTTTCCGATTTTAACGATCTACGAAGAGGTAAGAGGTCTTGTTTTATTAAATAAATATTTGATATATAATTGACTTGTATTGTTTATTGACATAGTCGGTTATATACAGGATAGTGTTAGCAATTATTCACTTTGGATATATCATTGCTTTTGCGGAACATTGATGACCGTACTTAAACTGAAGGTTTCACAAATACCCCATATATAGCCTTAAATTTAAGAAACCTAATCGTATTTCCTCCCGTTTAGGATATATGCTATCTGTATTGGTGGCAATTGATGACTTCGGCCTATATTATAGGCGGTTTATGTATAAATTACCTGCGGCCCGAGAGTGACAGCTTTGGCGTGGGCCAGAGGGCCACCAATTACTTTGTTCTCGGTAGGTAAATTTTATAAATATTATGTATATTGTATTGTATATATGATATTATTATAATTATTATTATTATTTTAGAATACATGCTGCTAACCCTTTTAGCAGTAGCCTATTATACCAAGGCTTTAAGGACTCAGCAAGAAGTTTAATAATAATATTCGTATCTTTAAAATTGACCCATATCCAATGTTTTAATCCCGGAATAAATTCGTAATAAATTAATATTTTTTGTTTTACCAAACCTTGAAAACTAAAACAACGGTCTAAACTTAATTAGAGAATATATTTTTTAAATATATAAGATTGTTGAACGTGAATTTAAAGAGGTTATCAAATTAAAATAATTCCGAATTTTCTCTTTGGTAAGTTAGGTAGAATAAAACTCATTTTATAAACTCACCGTAAAGTACTGCGATACGAAGACTGCCCACGTCTCCACACAGTTAATGTACTCATTGGGATCTGTCAGTTTGTTGATCGTTTCAAAGGCAGTTTTTAAAAACGTCATCCGTTGCTCCTGCAGGGGTGCACAACTGCTGACGCAGCTGCCAAGGGAACGTAGCAACTGGGACTTGGATATGCCAGGCGTCTCCGATGTGTTAATAAGCTCTATAAACTCTAAAGCATTCGTTGCAATAAACTCTGACTTGAATGAGCTCAGGATCGACATCAGAATGGCACCGCTGCGTTTAAATACAATATGATTAGATAGACTTTTAAGATGCATTCTTTCTTTTTTACTTGTTCTTTAGCTGCTTGCACTCAGACAGCATATCCTGCGTGTGGAGCTCACACCTGTGAACCAGGCACAGGAACATGTAGTCAAAGGCTGGCGCATATAACTGTAGGTAGGAGCTGGCGGTAACGATCTCGGGATGCAGATTGAAGCGGGCCACAAAGCGAAAGATCTATCAAATAAATATTCTTAAAATTAGCCATTATTGAATGCCACTAACCACTCTCACCTGGGGATATATGATGAATAGGTCCTTGAAGTTCTCTCTGATGTAGGTTTTACTGGGCGTAAGAGTCACGCCCATGCGCACCAGGTAGCAGCGAGCATAGCTGGACACTAGAGGATCTGCGATTCCCCTCAGCTGATGCGTCAAACGATTTAATATCTTTTCATACTCATCTCGAGAGGATGACAGGAACTCGTAGCACTTGAATATCGACATCTCCAAGTACAGACGCGGTAGCAGCTCTCTAATTGAGGCGATCTTGTAAAACCAATTCTGACACGTATCTCGAGCAGCCTCGCGTTCCCGCTCCAGTGTGGCCGCGGACACTGATACCGGATCACCAGAAGCCTTCGAACGCAACCGATCGTACACAAGCTTGCCAAACACATCCAGGATGTCCGTAATCAAAACATACTGACTCGGATAGAACTGCAGCACTGTTGTATCCGCCAGCATCTTGGCACACTGAATGGCTATCTTGAGGGCCTTTACCCGCTGATCGTTGTGCCAGGACTGGATGAGCTCCTGCTTGAGCTGGTCGAACCGTTGAATATACTCCTGCTGCGTTAGATCCATCATGTGACGCATGCTGCCGTCGTCAAAGTGATCCAGCTGCTCCAGACGATACTTCGTCTTGTCTGCCACCACTGTGTGTGCCTTGACTATAGTAATAGAATATGATTTAATACTCAATTCTGTTGAATCCTACAATACTTACTGCTTTCACTGCCGCCGTCCAGGCTACCGGACGCTACCAGGAAGCTGGTGGAGAGCGACAACTTCTCGTTGGTAGTAAATCGATTGAGGATCCCCAGACGACGACTGCTCCATTGTAGAGTATTGTCCTCTGGCTCCGTTCGGTCACGCTCGCGACGCTTTGACTTCAGATCCTGGCAATTGCAAAGGCTGAATGCTTAGTCACGTCGCTTTTTGGTTGTGTCACATTACTTACAAATTCGCTAACCTTCTGAGGGCTGAGGGGATCGTTCAGCTCCTCATCTTGGCGGGCAAACTGCGACAGGGGATCAGTGCCTTCCAGAGCCCGGCTTAAAGGATTGCTGTCCACCACCTGCTCGGAAGGAATATTCCAATAAGGAACATCTAATAAAGGGGCGTTGTACAATCCACCTACCGTCACCGATTGCTGCTTCAGCGGATGCTCCAGCGTGACATGGCCAGACAGATGATTCTTCCGCACCTCGTAGCATCTCGGTACGCACACCCTGAAATAAGATGCATTATTTACAAGAAGTATTTGTTTATTTTCGGGGAAAGGCTTACCAATCCAAGTTCGACATGGCGTGGTTGTTGTTGTCGGCATTGCAAACAGCTGTTTGCTGCCGGGCAAGGGCGTAGTTATATCAGCTATTTAGGGGCCCGCCATTTTCTCGGGAGGCGACTGTACTTTTGTTCGGTTCCTCAATAAATTTTATAAATATAAAGTAAAAGTTTAATTTTATTATATTAAAAATACAAAATATAACTCGTATTATCCACCAAAATAGAATCAACGTCATTCAATTAAATAAACAATAATCATATAATTATTTTAATATACATAGTTTTTACCAATAATATAAATAAAATCTGTGACAATATAAATGAAAGCCATATTTTCTAGATCTTGACTAGTAAAAATAGTTTATTTTATATATATACATACAATTATGTGACTCAATTTGTTTTTTCTTCGCGCCGATATTTTATTTCAGCCCTCTGCTGCGCCCATGAGAGCAGCGTTTATGTGGGTGAATGGCATTATTGGTTGCGAACCACGTGAATGGCAAATCCAGCTGACAAGCGACGCGTTTTATTTTTTGAGTTAATAAAAAAACTTAAATTAGTTTTAATATCGGATTGCGGAAAATAAAATGTCAAAGTCTGCGCTTAAACACTTGAAAAGCACATGCCGCGTGTGCGGAAAGTATGCGAGCAACAAGCGTTCGCCGAAGATCTTCGAGCGAACCAATACAAAGACGATCGACTGCATCGAGGCGATCACAGGCCTCCGGGTAATTTTACAGTTTTTCATTTTAAGACTTCGTAAAAACTTATCATCAAATTTATGCTATTTTTCCAGTTGGAGAACTATGGCTGCCTTCCGGATCAAATTTGCGAGTGCTGCAGCATGGAATTGGCCTCCGCTATAAAGTTGAGGGAGCGTTGCATTGCCGCTCAGCGGGAGCTGCTTATGGGGTTAACCGAGGAGCAGCGCCAAGGCATCTCGCCGTTTTACCGTGCTGCCGTCATGGGCGAACCCCTTGAGGAAACGATCAAAAAGTCCCAGCCGCCCGACGATGACGAGTTAATGCAATCCTATCAGGAAATCGTGGTAGAGGAGCCCAAACAGGAAATCGACGATTCGAAGATAGAGTATGACGACAACGTCTTCTATGAGGTGGCGCCGGGTAACACTGTCGAGGATGACGAGAACTCTTTAATTGAGGAGGCCGAATACGACTCCATCATAGCCGAAGACGACGATCATCAGGTGGAGGTAGACGAGGAGGCCGCCGAGCTGATTGTCGGGGATGGAGATGCCGCCGAATCGTATGTTTACGACTCTGACGACGAGGTAGCCGTGCTGGACAACGTGTTGGATGACGAGTACGAGCACGAGAATATTGTAGTGAAGAAGTGCAGTCTGCCGCCGAAGCCAAAGGTCCGTGGGGATGATCCGCGTCGTCGCGGCACTGGAGGAGTGTATATCTGCGATCAGTGCGGAAACCACATCAAGGGGCGCATGGCATTCGAGCTCCACTGCCGCCGCCATCGCGGCGATAAGCAATTCGGCTGCGAGTAAGTGGCTCCTAATTTGCCCCAAGTACAGTTTTAAAAATAGTTTCCTCCACAGACTTTGCCAGTCGCGCTTCTGCACCACCTCGGAGCTAAAGCGCCACATGCGCAAGCACACCGGTGAGCGTCCATTCGCCTGCCAGTATTGCGGTCGCTGCTTCACCGACTACACCACCCGGGTCAAGCACGAGCGTACCCATACCAACGAACGCCCGTACGTATGCGGCACCTGCGGCAAGGCCTTCACCACCGGCTACATCCTTAAGAATCACATGCTGATACATTCCGGCGAACGTGCTTACAGGTAAGTGTGGCTATACTACCTTGAAAAACAAAGAATCGAATTGTATGTACTAATCCCTTGCAGATGCGAGCTGTGCGATAAGTCGTTCATGCTTCCCACACACTTGAGCACCCACTTCCGTTCCGGCGTTCACAAGAGGCACATGGAGAAGGCCGAGATGAAACAGGTACTAGAACAGGAGCAGAAGCGGGATCTCAAGGAGGAGGAGGAGGACAGTCTGCACATCTAGAAGGAGGCGCTTGAAAAGGTAGCAATATTAAGTAACACAAGAACGACGATGGCGCACAGCCAAGGAGCATTTCTGCTAAACATAATTGTACACATTTATTATAATAGAATTTAATCTTGAATAAATCAAAGCTTCAAGTCCCAGCCAAGTGTTGTGCAACAATTTTATACTAGACTGCGTGTCGGGGCGAATGGCAAGGCCAAGCAGCTGGGCCAAGCGTCCTTTATTCACTGTTTATCAACAGTCTTGACAATATTAAATTGATCTTTAAATTAAGTAAAATGCAGCCGAAACTGTGTCGAGCGTGTGGAAAGTGCACAAATGTCGAAAGGTCCATAAATATGTTTGAGGAACTTAATCAATCTATATTGGAACACCTCACATTGCTAACAGGAGTTTCGGTGGGTGAATATATGGTTTTCCTGCTATTGCCCTGTATTTAAAAACTGTATTTCCATATTATTTATAAAGTTCGAAAACTGTACAGTTTTACCGAATCTATTGTGTATTTACTGCCAAATCCGAACAAGTCAGGCTATATCATTTCGGGAGCGCTGCTTAGAGGTCCAAAGGGAGCTGCTCGAATCGCTGAGCGACAAGGACCTGCTCCAAATACCCGATGACTACAGGAGAATCTTCGAGCCGGAGGACCACTCCATCCAGTCTCAGATTAGTATGTTAATCGAGGGAGTAGAGGATGAAGATGGCGCAGACTATGACGCCAGTTTTAAGGAATTTCTCAGCGAACCCGACCACAAGGAAGACAGCCATCCAAGAACATTTGCAAGCAGAGAGGACGAGGACAATAATGATATTTATAGTGCAAAATATCAACACATATCTGAAAACGATGAAGAAAAAGAAGAGGTACTCATACCAACACAAAAGTCAGCAAACCAGAGCAGACGACGGAAGCCTGTCAAATCCGATGGGATCTTCATTTGCGATGAGTGTGGGAAGCACTTCAAGGGAGAGAAATCGTTCAAATTTCATTGCAATCGTCATCGCGGCGTCAAAAACTATGGATGCGAGTGAGTATTGTTCAGGCTCCGAACTGAGCTTTCTGGGCTCTATCAAAATATTGTACATTTTTGCTTGCATACCTTTGCAGACTCTGCAAGGATAGCTTCTGTACAACGTCGGAACTCAGACGCCACATGCGGAGGCACACCGGAGAGAAACCTTTTGCATGTCGCCACTGTTTCCGCTGCTTCTCAGACTACAGTTCGCGACTGAAGCACGAGCGAACACACACGAATACGCGCCCATTTTCATGCAAGGAGTGTGGTCATGCCTTTTACACCGCCTACGTGCTCAAGAACCACATGCTCATACATACGGGCAAGAGGGCTTTTAGGTGTGCAGCCCTGACTCCCATCCCTTGGGAACTAAGTTTCAGTTTCTCACTTTTTACTTACACTTGCAGGTGTGATCCTTGCGATAAATCCTTCAGTCGCGATGTACACCTCACCGCTCACTACCGTTCGAAAGCCCACAAACTTAAGGTGAAGGAAGGTACCAATTTGCCATCGGGAAACGAATCGGATAAGTAATATTAACTTGGAGACCGAAGTCAGAAACAGTATTACGAACTTCACCTAGGCCATACATTATCGTTTAAGAGGATCTTTTGTACTAATCGTCGAGCAAAGAAAATACTTTTAAATTATATTTGGCTTTGTTTCTTGTGGTTGAGATTGGTTCTAGGCTCTAATTTGTACTATACACCAACGGGGTCGACGCTAAAGCGGCCAGATCCAAAGTTGCATCCTGCTGCTCCTGTTCCACGGGCAAAGGCACTTCTATTGTAAAGGCTATAGCATCCGGCTCTATCTCCCCTCGGTGAGGCACTGATTCACCCTGTTCCGACTGGGACGGTTCAACCTTTGACTTCTCCACGTTGTGTTTGTGAGCATTGGATCGGTAATGGGTCTTCAAGTGGGTCGGACGCGCAAAGGAACGCTGACACAGCTCGCATCTGCAAGGAATAAGACTTTGTTGAAGTGATCGATCGCTAAGGAGTCAAAGCATCAAGTACACACCTGAAGAGGCGCTCGCCGGTGTGGATGAGCATGTGATTTTTGAGAATATAGGAATTTGTAAACGCCTTGCCGCATGTGGCACAGACAAAGGGTCGATCGTTGGTGTGGGTCCGCTCGTGCCGTAGCCGTCCGCTGTAATTGACATAGGTGCGGTCACAGTAGCGGCAGGGGAATTTACGGTCCCCTGTGTGCATCACCTGGTGACCTTTCAGCTCACCGGACGAAAGGAAACGGGCGGGACAGAGTCTGCATATACAATATGATATCTTTCGATTACTCGTCAAATTAAAAGCAGTTGGTACTTACTCGCACTGAAAGGGCCTGATTCCGCTGTGCTTGCGCAAGTGCCGATCGAAGGAGGACTTGCCGGTGATGTTGTTGCCACATTGATCACAGAAAAAGACCGTTAGCGGGACCTTGGGACGCTTTTCACTTTTCTCGGTCCTACTCTTCTTGGGCGGACCACGACGACGGGCTCTTTTCACTCTGGCAGGCGAGGAGGATTCTTCGTCTTCTTCTTCATTCGAGGAAGTCATTTCCTTGACGGCCTGCTCCATGTCAGCCTCGTTGCAGGAGTCTAAATGATCTATGCCATCATCATTACCGTCGTTCTCCTCGTCGCCATCGCTAAGACCCTCCAGCTTGATCATGACCTGTAGGGGACTGGCCGGCGTCTGGGGATCGGGGTACTCATGGCGCCGCTTTTGGGAGCGGGCACTGCGGCGGCGGCGGTTTACACATGACGATGACTCCTCGAATATCTTTTGGCTGCTCAGACAACGCTCACGAAAGGCAATGGCACTTGCGAGGTCCGATTGGCAGGACTCGCACATCCAGTCGGGAAAATCCGGCTGGCATTGCAGCTGGCGTTGGAAACAATACCATTAAAGGGGCTGTAATTACCAATTAGCTATTTGCTAGTAGACTTACTAGAACGCCGGTGAGTAAATTTATTTGCTGCAGTGCTTTCCGCGAACTGCTGGTGAACAGCTTGAGGGAATTCGAGTTGTCAGTGCTGCTTGCGCAAACCCGGCACACATTTTGAAGCATTTTTGGGTGCTCCAAAAATAATTTCCTAATGGTAAACAAAGACAACCACCCACGAAAGTTTGACATTCACTACGCAACGCAAACAATGGTCCAGCAATTGCTGTCGTTAGTCAACACTGTCAGTGGCACAAAACAGAATTTCAAATTTAAAATTTCAGAATTTATAATTATTCAAGATCAAAAATTCAAGATATGAAATGTTATTTGCTTTTTAAGTTTCCCCAAATCTAATAAATTTTCCATTAGATATAGTAATAATAAAAGATTATCTTTTATAGCTCCTGCGGAATAACTCTAATTTTGTTTTTCTGATCCTCCTCCGCCTTTCTTTTGTGCAATCGCGATCGGAAGTGCGTCACCATATGGGTCTTCCTTTGGAAGGAACGATTGCAAAGATCGCACTGGAATCGTCTCTCCCCAGAGTGGATGAGCATGTGATTCTTTAGAATATAGGCATTTGTGAAGGTCTGCCCGCATTCAGCACAAACAAAGGGTCGCTCGTTGGTGTGGATCCTCTCATGCTTCAGCCTGCCCATGTAGCTTACATATTTCCTCTCGCAGAAGCGACATGCGAACGGCTGCTCTTTAGTGTGGACGCGGAGGTGGGCACGCAGCTCGGCGGCGCTGAGGAACCGCGCAGCACACTCCCTGAAAGAGGGGCAGTATCACTATTAGCATGCAATTTACAATTATAATATCCACAGAGACGTGGGGGGCGTAAGATGGAGATATAGACTCACTCGCAAGCAAACGGCCGTTCTCCGGAGTGCTTTCTCATATGGCGTTCGAAAACTGGCTTCGAGGTAGCATGAACTCCGCACATTTCGCATATATAAACCAAATCTTCTGGCTTCGATTTGAGCCTATTCCTGTGCCTTTCACGCTGGACAGATTCCGGTGGCGGAGCTTCTACAACAGTTCGTTTTAGTGTATCAAATGGCTCCTCTTCCCCAGCTGAATCGCATATGAGCAAATTGTCCGAGTTGTCCTCTTCAATCAATATTTGATACATTTTCTGCGGCATCCTGATGTCATCGTCGCTCTCTCTATTAGTTTTGGTCTGCAGGTGTTCGCGTTTCTTTTCCTGCTGAGTCTCTATCTCTGTATCAGAGTCAGACCATCCGGAAATTTCCGTAACGCTGGGATTCCACCTTTTCTGAACCTTGATGCAGAGCTTACGGAATGCCAAAGCCGATCTGAGATCGGACTGACAGCACAGACACATGGATTCGGGTGCATTGGGCAGCACCTCTAACTAATATTTATAATTTGGTATATATCTTCGACTCTAAGCGGCTCGTTAAACTTACCTTAAGCCCAGTTATCAAGAACAAATGCCTCAATAGTTTCTTATTTTCCAAATCAAAAAGTTTCTTGCTCTGTTCGCAGATTCTCTGTCTTCCGCACAGCCGACAGCTAACTTCCAGCATCTTAACACCGTCGCATGAGCTCGACTAATTGAAATGCAAAGTGCCTGGAAAATCTGTCAATTGGGAGCGGAATAGAGTAGCTGCGTCGACAGTCACACGAGAACGCGTAAGGTAAAGCGCCGAAGCAGGGAATTTTTAAAAAAGAGTTTCATTTATTTATATCAAAAACAAGGCAGTCGCTTTATCAAAAAACCATCTTACTACACGATGCACAAATTTAGAAATATACATCAATTCTTACAGATTATAATTTCAATACGTACAGAAGATTTTAAAAAAGGATAAGCTAACAAATATTTCAAGGAGATTTCTAGGATCAGGAGAAATTACAACATTAAAATCTAAAAACACAAAACCAGTATAAATTGGTTTTCTAAAACAACGGTTACTGTAGCTCGATTGGCCAAAACTTTGTGAGTAAAAAAAAAACAATTTATTTATAAATAATAACATCCATATCTAATATGATATGCTAAATATTATTGCCAAAAAATGGACCAACATTTACTAATCGATCAAAGTCCATCTGCATACATTTACGAGAATTTACGGATTTGTATAGTTTTTAAGTGCACTTACGTATTATTGAAATATGTTCTTTCATGATACTTTACGGTTTTTTTTATCCATTGGGAGTATTTAAAATTTAGAAGCTGAGCTTTTAGATTATTAGATTAATAGTTCTGCATACTCCATTTAAAATTTTACAAATTTAAACTTTTTGACAATTTAACGATGTCAATTTAGGCAGCAGTTAAAAAAAATTTTAATTTTTATATCTGCCTTAGATGGTTAGATCGTCTCGGCTTGATACTGATCAAGAATATACATGATTTATAGCGCTGTATAAAAGTCTACAAGGGTATAAAGATACAAGGCAAATTATATGAACTCTTTTTAAACCTAATTTGTTAATTGGTTAATAGGCACGGCTAGATTTGTTCTTAAATCCTATAAACTAATGTTCTTTGGTTAGATAAAAATATATTTATGGCTTCGTTACTTGATTTTTCCTGCTCTTGTATAGTTTTATGGTCACTGAGAATATATTAAGAAATTTGGCTTTTAAACCTAACAAGTGGAAGACAATTGTTTCCAAATATAGCGGCTTTCTTAAGGAATACTGTTTTTGATTTGTTTAAAACCTTAACGGTTTAAATTATTTGGTGTCAGCATTTTGTGTTACGATTTAAAATATGAGATTTATAAGATTCATATTTGTGTGATGTTTTTTTTATAAAATATTGCTTAAAGTTCAAATCAGATTCAATGTTAACTTTGGTTTTTGCTGTCTCCTAATTATTTTGTGATTCTTTTCTGTGATGCATACTGATAAAATATTGCTTAAATTTCAAATTAAATTCAATGTTGACTTTGGTTTCTGATGTTGGGATTCATACTTACCGAAATGGCTTCTTTTCGTTGTTGATTTCTTTTTGCACGATGATATCTAGAGGGACACAGAACTGAAAACATCTACACATAAGAGGTCAAATTGCGACTGTTCTAACTCTTCTTGGGTAAATTTGTTCAGATTTTCAGTATCGTTATCATTAGTTATGAGGCCAGCCTCAAAGGTATCCTTTCCAGCCGGAACCTTTTCTGCCATTTTGGCTTTCCGCTTATGAGTGTTTGATGTGTAGTGGGTGACCAGATGTTTTTTCAGGGTGAAGGATCGATCGCATATATCGCAGCTGAAATATAAGATTACCAGCATAACTCTATGAATATATTTCAAAACTGGACTTACCGGAACATCTTTTGGCCCGTGTGCGTCTGCATGTGGGCCCTCAGGACGCAGACCCGTGTGAAGGCCTTGCCGCATTGGTCGCAAACAAAAGGCCGTTCATTGGTGTGAATTCGTTCGTGCTTCTTTCGGCCAACTACGGAGAAGTAGCGACGGTCGCAGTAGCGACAGGGAAACGGCGGTTCCTTGGTGTGGTGGGCGAGCATGTGAGCACGCAGTTCGTTCCGGGAGAGATAACGCCTCGGACATTCCCTGGAAAGTAAATGTTAAAGGTTTAGCTTTAAATTTGGGATATACCAGGGAATGGTTTAATTTACTTGCAGGGAAATGGCTTCTCGCCTGCGTGTCTATATTCGTGTCGCACAAGAGATGCCCTGTTCTTTTTTACAATACCACAGGTGCCGCACTGGTGGACTTTCAGTTTTGCAGGTACATAGTGCTCAGGATCCGCCTCGCCTTCCCCTTTTTGCGGGATCTCCGCCAGCTGCTTAGTTTCATTGTCATTCGTTCCACCTGTTGATTCCTCTACGACTGTAGTTTCCGGCAACTTTACAACAATGTCCACTGTTTGCAACGGTTCAACAGAACCTGGGGGTCGACAGGGGCTCCTCGGAGATTCGGATTCTATATCTCCCTCCACTTCATCTGCCTTAAGGCCTCCCTGTTCCGACTTAAGGTTCTCCACCTCTGCCCTAAAGTTCTCCTCTTCAGCCTCCGCCTCCTTTTTTTCTGGCACCCATTTCTTCTGCTCCTGGATGCAGTGCTTTCGGAATTGTATGGCCGAATTGAGGTCCGTTTGACAGCAGAAGCACACCATGTCCGGAGCTCCAGGAATTTGCTGCAACTGTTCACAAAAGGGCGTGAATTAGCTAGATCTATTTTTAATTATGTTCAAAGCTCACTCGAATGCCAGTGACTAGGTAAATGCGCCGCAGTGTTTCCAGGTTATCCAGTTTAAAGAGTTCCAGGGCTTTGGGACACAGAGTACTCTTACCGCAAACGCGGCACACATTAATTAACATTTTGCCTTTTGTGGATAATAAACAATTGATGTAAAACTAATGAAGAATTAAAATTATGTCTATTCACAGCGAATCGCGTGCGTTTCTAGTGTTAAGAAGCGGCAAAATAAGAGCTAAGTTGCGCTGTGTAACGTATTTTCAAAATTGGATTTGTGTAACGGATTTCTTAAATTCAAACAACTTATAAACTTTTATATCTTAAGCCCTACTAAATAAGTAATTTGTTAGCAAATTAGTGTTTGCATTGTTTGTGTTTTATTTTTCCCGGAAGTTAGGTTAATTTAGTAGGAATTAATAGTTTTTAATGATTTTAATGCCGGGAACTGGGAGAGATTGAATTAGAACATTTTCCTATACGTCCGAACAGTCGTTGTCCTCGTATGCCTTGATCTTGCACTCTTTGATCTGCATTTTTTTATGGAAGAGAATTGTGCTGTGCAATGCATCCTCTCTTTCACGAGCGATCTTCAACTCAAGGAGATCCAGGCGCCGCTGCTCGACGAGGATGCGATAACGATGGAGCTCCTGCTGCCTTTGTCGGAAGTTGGGCAAGTGGGGACCCGTGCTCCCACTGCTGGTGCTGGGACATTTTTTGCCATCTGCGGCTGTGGGTGAGCCAGCCTTTGTACCGGCGGCCACCTTGCCCGTCGTTGAGCGGCGCTTGGACGGGGAAGTCCCATCCCGTCGCGTCGTCTCTGACAACGAGGACGTGGTGGGCGCCGATATATGAACACTGACCAGGTCGTTTTGCATGCGCTGCGGAGGATTGGAGTCCAGCATGGGGCTGTTCTTGGGGGCTTCCAGCTCACCAGAGCAGCATGAATCGGAGTCATTCTCTACGCTTAATCCTTGAGCGAACTTCGGTGCCTCCTCACGCACCACACACGACTGCTGGGGCGGCAGGGTAAAGGACTCCACTTTCAGGTCCGAAACAACTTTGCTGGACGTTGAACCGCGGGAAGTACTAGGTATTCGGTCCGATCCGAAATCCTTGCTTCGCTTGTACTTAAGAGATTCGTAGGAGGGCCTATACCGCAGAGCCAAGCTGGGTTTTACAGACAGCCTATTATCCTTCTCTTCCTCCTCCTCTTCCGAAGCGACATCTCTTCCCGGGACCGACCGCTTTGAAAAGCTTTTGGGCTCCTTTACCTCTGGCAGCGAAGTCGAAGATGGTTGGTTGATTTTTAAAGTCGGCTCTTTGAATAGCAGCTTTCTGTTTTGCTGGTTTGATGAGGGATGTATGCAGCGTCCAGGGGAGCGTCGATAGGTGACCACAGAGTCGAAAGTCTCCTCCATATCCTCCTCGCTGAGCTTCCACATGACACGACGACTGCTGCTGGACATGGACTGATCAAAGCGTTCATCTTGAATTAGAAAAAAATTGTTTAGTTGCTTAAATTAGAGGATATATGTGTATTGAAGTTCACCCGATTTCTGGTTTTTGTCCATGATGATTGAATCAACCTCCCGAGCAGACCTGCATAAAGTTTTGCTTCGAATTTTGGGGACTACACAAATTTGGAAGATATCTGTATGTGTGTTTCTGAAATATTTGTAAAAATTTTGCCCCTTTCGCTCTAAAGATAATCGAAGTAATGGGCGAAGCCTACTATCCTAAGCTAGAAATTGAGCTACATCCTTATAATCTTCGCTTTTTCTCTCTTGGGAGCGAAGTCTCCTGTCCCGTTTATACTTGGAGAGAATAGTAAAAGTTCAAACTGTGACCCTTTTCGATATCGGGTTGACTTCAGTGAAACGAGAACCAACCTTGTGAGGTCTTCTACTAACATACAGATGTCAATTTTTTAGTTTGGATCTTTAATTGGTATTTTCATTGAGTGTATATAATTTTTCATAAAACCTTATAAGTTTTTCTCGCTTTTGTTTATTATTAACTTATCTCCGTTTTACACGCGCTTTAAAAGTATGTTAACATTTGGCGTTCAACGAAATTACATAAATATTATACAATTTTTAAATTATTCAACTTAGGATGATGCAGCTCTTTTGGTTTCGGTTTTGGTTGTCCTCTAATTAAAATTGTTCCTTTAAAAGCATGAGGTTCGTGGACTGTTGAGTTGAGTTTTGTGATCGATTTGTGAGCTAATTTCCTGCTATGAAACCACAAACAGTTCTTATAAATAATACACAATCTTTGGTGTAGCTTAGAAGTTGTTTTGTGGACAATATATATTAGTGACTAGCATTTCTTCCTTCTCTTGAATCCTCGGTTCCTCATAGGCGGGGATAATTGAGCTTGACATATCGGGGGTGTTTCAGAGGTTTGCCAAAACGGGCAGAATCTTTAGAGAGAAGGATTTCGCAATAGACTTTGCGGCACTACAGTGGAGGGTAGTCTCTCGCCTAATTATTAACACTCTAAAATGTTTAGTATGATTTAACTAATTTGTTTTTGTTAGCTTTTACACTTGGATTGGTTGCCTGTTGCATTAAGTACCGTCTTGAACATTGTTATTTACGCTATATGCTAGTTTTATATAAAGTATATATGCATTAAAGTACACACATGGTCATGCCCTTTGCCTTCTTGATCTGTTCGCATTCGAATAGTGTTTTATGAACGAACTACTAACCGCCTCACTAAGTGTTAACGGTTTAGTCCTTCCTTTCGGCGATCTGAAGCACATTTTACATATGATTCTTCTTGTGACTAGATTTTTTAGATATTCTATTTTTACATTTTTTTTTGGTTTGTAAAGATTCGAGTTATTTGTGAATTAATATAAATTAGTTATCTTTTTTGGTTTTGCTTTTTTTGGTTTAAAGATTTTTTTACAAAAAAATTGTCATCTTAAAAATGTGAAAATTATTCAAGTTTAAGTTTTCTTAGCTTTTCTTGCTTTCTTTTTTTTGTTGTCTTATATTGGTTCCAATTGATGCTTAAATGTTAACAATTTTTGTATATAAAACCGTTAAGTATATGTATATATATGTATGTGTGTGTTGTATGTTATCATAAATCTTATCCTTTAGGTATTAATATATGCTACATATGTTCTTTTTTCTTTTGTTTCTGTTCTGCTTGGTTAGGTTTCCATCCTCCTCCTCCTCGGGCATGAGCAAGTTAGCAATTTAGATGCTTCTGCGGTTTCTCACTTCATTTTTAATGCATTTTGTTTAATTTTCTGATCCGATCTTTTTGTATATTGCTAACACTTTGCTAATCACCACATATAAATGTTCATCTTCATCTCCATCAGTGGCTGGTGATGACTAATCATAAGTTACTGGACGACACAGTGAGAAAACGAAGACGATGGCGTACCACACTTCGGTCAGGTAAAGGGCAATCTGCAGCGTGCACAGGCAGTACTCCAGGCGCAGTCTGTATGTCTGCATCAGCAGCAAATAGGACACACCCAAGAAGCATGGAGCGGTCATGAAGACCGAAAGTATGGCTGACCAACCTGAAAGAGATAGTAAAGCTAAATAAATATGTTTTCTGTAAAACAAGTTGAACTAAACTAATTGCTTTGTATGTAACATTGCTTAAGAGCAAAAGTATTTCCTAAAAACGACAATTATCGTATAAAGTTATTCATACTTAAGTAAGTATAAAACAAGAAAGGAAGCTAACTTCGGCCCGCCGAAGTTTAAATACCCTTGCAGATAGAAATTCTATGACTAGAAATCCATACCATATAAATTATATATATATGTGTTTAAAAACAATGAAGTAATACCTGCTTTTATTTCATTCACCTATACATATTATATTTGCAGCTTTATATTCACAGATTTGTATTTTTCTTCTACATCAAACGATCGTTTGTATGGCACCTATATGATATAGTCGTTTGATTTTCATAAAATTTTACACAAAATTTTAGAATAATATGAAATGGCTATATCTCAAATTTGATTAAATTCTGTTGAAAACTAAAAATGTTATCGCCACCGCGATTGTCAGTCTTCCGACAACAGCCACCGCCATTCTCATTCCTCTCAAATTTCTCGATCGTTCCTATGGGAGCTATATGATATATTAGTCCGATTTTCATAAAATTTTACACAAAATTGTAGAATAATATGAAACGGCTATATATCAAATTTGATGAAAATCTGTTGAAAACTGAAAATGTTATACTTATTAATTGAATTAATTTCTCGATCGTTCCTATGGGAGCTATATGATATAGTCGTCCGATTTTCATCAAATTTTACACAAAATTGTAGAATAATATTAAATGGCTATATCTCAAATTTGATCCAATTCTATAGAGAACTGAAAAAGTTAAAATTTTTTTTGTAAAAATTTTCCGATCATTCCTATGGCAGCTATATGATATAGTCGTCCGATCCGGCCCGTTCCGACATATATACGAGTGAGAGTATATAGAAGGCTAACTACAATGTTTCATTCAGATAGCTTCAAAACTGAGAGACTAGTTTGCGTAGAAACGGACAGACGGACAGACGGACAGACGGACAGACGGACAGACGGACAGACGGACAGACGGACAGACGGACAGACGGACAGACGGACAGACGGACATGGCTAGATCGACTCGGCTGTTGATCCTGATCAAGAATATATATACTTTATATAGTCGGAGGGGCCTCCTTCACTGCGTTGCAAACTTCTGACTGAAATTATAATACCCTGCAAGGGTATAAAAACACATTCCACCCTGTTATTTTAGTTAATCCTAAAATTAGATAAGCGTGCTCTCTACCTCGGTCGGCCAAAGAACTCATGCGTCCCATTATCAGGCGGATCGTCTCGAAGACAATGAAGCTAACCATTACCGCCGAGTCCAGCGCAAGGGTATGGCCGGTGTAGCTGAGATTGATGGCCTTCAGCAGACCCATGGCCATTTCACAGCATGCGAACATCCCGAAGTAGAAAGAGTTGAGGTAGATTAACACCTCATAGTTCATGCTGGGATTCGGCTTCTTTGGCACGAGCGGTGGCGGGCGCTTGGGCGGCATCTCTCTCTCAGCGGCGGTGGCTTGGCACCTCTAAGACTACGAACTACGGCAAATTGGCCCCAAATCGATCTCCCGGATCGCTAGCACAGCAGTGGCGGCGGCGTTGCTCACGTTGGGCACTGTATTTATAGACTGACCATAATAATAACGCGGACCTGCCTGCCGTGCGGTTCGCTTGGCCATTGCAGCGGCATCTCGACATCGGCATCGGCGGTCTCGCGCTTTGTCGCTGGGAACTGTGCCGCCTTGCTGCTGTTTATTTGAATAATGTGCTGCCTGGTCGTTGTCGCCTTTTATTTGTTTCACCCGCTGGGTGGTTGGTCAGCACTGACCGGCGGATGACCTGCCCCGAAAGGTGTGAGATTGATTCCACTGGGGTTTGCCACTACCATGAGGGAAATTAAATTAAAAGTTCTTAGGCGGAAAGCGTGCCAGAAATGTATTAAAGTTATACTTTTCGGTAATATGGCATGTAAAATAGCTATAATTCTAAAACAGGCTAAATTTTGTTAAAAAAATTAATTGTAAGAGTACGTGTTCTGCGCTTTACTTTTGCAATAGCGTGCCGGAAGACCTTTGCTGAAGTCACACGAATGTTTAACACTGTGGCGACATAGGACCGGCAGAGAAATATTCTGATAATAAAATTGAAAAATATAGTTGCTTTAATATTTGGACTATTATTGTCTCTGAGCACTAAAAGTGTCGAAGAAACATATGTTCCTACATCAATAGATCATTTCTGACAATGTTTGTAAACAGCTAATTAAATTTAAATATATTCTTGAAAACTCTGATTTAATATTTTGTATTTTTTTATTTATAAAAGTTCCCTCAAGTAAATCCTTGATTTAAATCTTTTTCTTTCATACCATCTCAATGCTAACAAACACAGATGGACTCTTGATCAAAAGTGTTCCCTGTGTAGGGCATAATTGTTAACCGAGACCGACCGTACCGAGAGCCCTCTCATTTGGCTTTTCTAGCGCCAGCCTAACGTGTCCGCAGTGGCCCGTTTATATTACATTTGAATTAGAAGTGTACATTGCACCTAGGGGACAGCAGCAGCAGCAACGGTATTGCACGAGCTTGCATTTTGCATATAATTTTAGACACCATCACAACGGCTGCTATATAAAAAGATCAAAACGAGCGAGTCCGAGGCGGAGAGTCGGGACCAACATCGCTGCTACGCCAGCATCATCAGCAGCAGGGAGGCTACGCCGGCGGCCACAAAGGCCGGACAAAAGAATGCAAACCGAAGAAATTCAAATTAAATGCAGCTCTGCATTTGATAGAATCGGTCGGATCGCGTCGCGTCGCGTTACAATACGGTGCCATGCAGTTTCCGCGGTCGCGAGAAAGATCTGTGCGGATTATATAAGTTGAGATAAAGGTTCACGACGTACCTTAAGGAAAATCCTTTCTCCAGTGTGAGCCCCAAAATGCATGTTTGGGTACGGGTTTTGCGATCTTAGTGCTGGAAGAGAATCCTTGAAATGGTCGAGAGTGCGGTTCAGTTGAGATAGTCGGACATCAAAATGGCCAAGCTTGGAAGGCCTTGGCGTATCGCTGGAAGTGAAAGTGCCACAGGAAAGTGTCTCGTCGTCTTCGTCGTAGTTGTCGCTCAGCTGTTGTTGCAGCCTCCTCGGCTTTGTATGTTCCTCCTCCACCTTGTCTTCCTTCTCCCCCAGGAGGGAGGAGTGCTAGTGCTGGCTTGGTCTTAATCTCGATCTTGGTCGTGGTCGTGGCGGCGGCAACGTGGTTTATCAACTGCTAGGTGTATGTCACGGGGCGACACATTGTACAAATGAATATGCTGGCGTAGACTAGTTCAGCACCTTGTAGGGTGATCATTAAGGCACTCAGAATAATTTCGAGTTTGAGAACATAGGTTTGAAAACAACACAAGTAGATAACAATAGCAAGACTGGGCAGTGTTAATATTACGGATGCGGTTGCTTGCCACCCTGCAAAAATGAAGAAAAATCGTATTAATTAGAAAAGGGGTCTTTTTGAACAATTTACATTATTATACAGTTTATAGATTGAATCAAAAAATGATTTGCTTAGCCCTCCCGAACGTCTCAATCCACATAATCTTTTGCTTTCGCACTCAAAACCGCACGAACAGAATTTTAATAGAAAGACTGGGAAAACTGCTTTTGCTAGAAGATCATTGCTATAGCGAAATCCTAGTGTTGAGTTTTAAATCATTTATACCGTTGGCTATGGTGGTTTATTTATACATAAATATATTCCAAATGAGTAGCGGATTTAAAGCACTTAACTTCATATCCATAAATTGCCATACATAGCATGATTCACGGACAACTTTGAGTCCCATATATTTATTAATTCTTTTTCTTATAAAATGGCTCTGTAGTTGCTCGTATAGATTTCAGTGGCTCATCTCAATTATAAATTCTTTAATAGATTCCCATTTAATATTGTTTAATGTACCAGAAGGGCACCATTTCAACCCTCAACCCCCTGCCTCTCCTTTCCAATCCTGCCGCTCGAAACATTTACACTCATGCGGGTGATGACCATAATTACGCATACGCCGTGTTGACTACACACATGTTTGTACATATACATCAACGTATGTATGTATGTACATGTACGACGAAACGTTTATGGGTTATGGCCACAGCGGACACGGACAGTGGGAGTGGGAGCAAGGGAGGCGCCGCCTGTCGCCATTGGGACCGGGAAAACAAATAATTTCGCCATGTCATCATCGGTGTGGCGGATTAATCCCACAAACAAACACTCGGACTACTTACCACGATCGCTGAGACTGCTCTTGCGGCCGAAGACGATGCGCAGGGTCTCGATGATGCACAGGGAGAGCAGGATGCTCGCCTCGCGGGACAACGCATTCTCCCCGTAGTTGAGATTGATGGCCTTCAGCACGCCCACGCCCACCTCGAAGGCAGCGTACATGCCGAAGTAGAACGAGTTTAAGTACATAAGGATCTCGTAGATGAGGCTGGCGTTCATGGTGGTCGCTACTTAATGTCCGCGTCCGCGATCTCAATCAGTTCCGTTTCCTCCTCCTCCTCCGTCGCTCCCGAGGTGCTGCGCTGCGCTGCGCCCTCAGCCGCCGGATGTCACCTGGGCAGTTTGGGGCAGCTTCTCCAGCTCTGCCAGCGATAGCAGCAGTATCAGCAGCAGCAGCAGGTGGCTCGCCTCCCTTACGACAGCATCGAGGGGACTGGGTCTCGTGGCGTTGCTGGATGTAGATGCGGACGGTGGTTGGTGCTGCTAGTGGCGCTCTTGGTGTATTTTTAATTGCGGTCTGCTCATATGTATATATTTATGTATATTTACTTATCGCCCTCACCTCCACTTTTTGGCTCTTCTTCTTGCACCCTCCTATTGTTGTTGCTGTTGGTGCGTTGTCATGGGGAGTCAGCGGGCAGCGGACATAAGTGGGCCGTGCTTCGCGGCGACAACTCTATGCTAATATTAAGTGTTGCGTTCACGTTTATTTATACGCGTGTGCTGCTGGCTACCAGTAGTTGGTTGCTTGTTGGCGAGAAGAGAAGCACATAGAGGGGGCTTATATAAAAACTCTGCCCATCGGATGGAGCCTCCCGCGCTAGATATTTTCGATTTTCTTCTTCTTTCTCTGGACATTTCCAAGAACGGCCACTCTGCGCTAGGCGCATTTCTCACCAGTACTGTCACTATCGGTCGTCATTTTATAGCTAGACAGACCAACGAATATAGCCAAAATATCGAAATCTAAACAATGGCCACAATTCAATTCGTTGTAGACAATAGATATACTTATTAAAATAGGTGTAAAATAGCCAAAATAACTGGCTTCTGCAAAATTTAGTGGTTTTCGGTTTGGTGTCTTCCAAAATTTCCAGATTTGGTCAGGCAAGAAATGATAATTCGGCAACACTGTTTCTCACGCTCGCGTCACGGCTCAACTCACTCAGCACTCGATAGCTATCGATAAGCAATCCATTAACTTTGCGGGCCGATTCGGCTTATTTGTAATAACTTTGCTTTATTCGTCGCATCATCTTCCTTTTAAATGTAGAATTTGACCTAAACGATACGTGGGTTTTCAATAAAAAGGATTAATTTAAAAAAAATCACAGTAAACAACTCTGACTTCCAATTGGGAATCGATGTTTTCACAAAGCGATAATATCGGGTTTGACATTTGGTTTTTCTCCTCCCTATTTCAAGGAGACGGTCACATTGTGATTGTTTTTGAGTTCTGAAATTTGTTCTATTTACATAAAATAACTTTGATTTTCGCAATGCCGGCGGATCAGATTTTGTACTCGGATAAGTACTTCGATGACAAGTACGAATACAGGTAGATGAAGTATTATTCGTTAAAGACATTGGATTCTAATTGCAGTGATCTCTTGCAGGCACGTAATTTTGCCTGCGGATTTGGCCAAACATGTCCCCAAGGCCCATCTGATGACGGAGACAGAGTGGCGCAATCTGGGAGTGCAGCAGAGTCCTGGATGGGTGCACTACATGGTCCATGCACCGGAGCCGCATGTGATTCTCTTCCGTCGCAAACGCGTCGAGGAGGAAGCGGCGGCGCCACAGGTGGCAGCTACTTCGGAATCGCAGAATCGCGCGAATGTGTGCGCCTAAGACAGAATCAGACCAGTTTATTGCCACTCAGGGAGTCTCATATACTCATGCAGTATTTCATAAGTTAGCATCAGGCATCCTGATGTAAAATTAAGTTCCATAGCTTTAGGAGCTGACTAGTTCAAAGAAACATACATATATGTACATACATATGATACCAAGTTAATTTCATTAGTTTATTTACCTAAAATACAATCGAAGCGTACGCCAAGTGTACTAACAATTAAAAGTAGAGGTTGTTAATTAATTTGTCCTATTGTAGCAGCGCCACACCGCCGGGACCAGGCTGTCCGTCCAGCTGTCGTGACTCAGATTGCAGTTCTTTTTGGCATAGTGTTCCATGGCGTAGAGCGAAATCAGTATGCCATTGCCTGAGATTAAAGAGAACCACAGGAAGACGTTGCCCAGTATTTTGGGAGCGCTACGCATAAGGAATACCAGCGAGACGCCTACAATCCCAAAGAAGAAGAACATGACTGGAAAGAACATTTGCAGAGCTAAGCCGAGAACCTGCTCGTGCACCACCGCGGAGATCATGAAGACAGCCAGTGAGGCAGCCAACTTGGAGCCCCGGAATACATGCACGTACATATCCTTGTAGACATACTCGTACAGCCAGTCGTGGACCACCACGTTCCAGTTCCTGTAGTAGGCATCGTAAGTGTGCGACGTCCACCAGTCCTTGTAGAACATTCGGTCACCAAAGCGCAGCAGCTCCGCGGTGAAGTTCAGCCACGAGTGGAGGATCAGGTAGAAGCCGCAAAGAAAGATCACTTGGCAGGGCAGCAGCATTCCAAACAGCTTAAGGATGAGCTTCGAGGCGTCCATAGGCTCCAAGCCGTACTGACCGAAGTGCTCGTGGATGTGCCGCTCGTGAATAAAGGCGTAGAGGAATGCAATGGCCACAACCTCCAGGAGGCGATTCAGGGCAAACTTCCAGCGGATGTGTGAGGTGCGCGGATAGCTGTCCCGGTAGATGAGAGTGGGTGCAAACAGGAAGTAGATGTAGCAGCTTAATGGCGGCACAAAAGGTCGTCCTGTGGGCTTCTCCTCATTTTCCTGATCCTCCTGTTTTAGTTTCCCCGCCACCACTCGAGCCGCATTGGATCTGACAAATGCGTGCATCTTCATCAGCAGGCGAGTGCTCTCCAAGAGCAGGACACAGCCGCTCACGAAGGGCAGATCAAACTTTAGACAGAGGGAACTGGCCGCGAAGCAGAACACCAGCTGGGAGCTGATGTACAGAATAAGGCAGCTGTGTGACCAAAAATGCTGAAGGGAGCCTAAAAAGAGGAAAAAAAGCTTATTAAAATTATTGTTTCACATATTTCTATTGGAAGCAAAAGACTTTTAAGAGCATTTAAAAATATGAAAATAAAATAATGATTTTTAGAAGATTAACTCACATCTATTATATTATGTGCCAATAAAGCGAAAGTTCAATCGTTTAAACCCAAAGGCCTTTAACTCTTATCGTTATTTGGCTTTAATGAATTCGTCACCTTATGGTGGCTAAGTGAGTAATAAAAGTTATTTACAAATTCCAAAAAATAAGGGCTATATATGAAGCACTTTTTGTTTAAGTGCTTTATACAAAAATTTTAATAACTAATAGGCCAAATTCCAAAGTAAATAAAATTAATTAAATAAAAACAAATAATTCTACAGGAATTAGGTGGAAACAAAGAAGCTTTTCCCCTTGTAGTACTCCAACACTTACTGTGCGGTTTCAACTTGTGTCTGACCATCGCCCATCCTCGGAAGGCAAAGTAGAGCGCCAGGACAAAGACATGCTCCAGCAGCCAAGTGCCCATTACCCAGTGCAGACGCCGTAGTCCGCCCCGGAAGGTGCCCAGTCCGAGGTCAATCCGCCCGTCCACAAAGTAATCGTGGCAGATCACGTTCAGCAGGAACATGATCAGAATAATGTAGAAGATGTGGTAGATGGTGCGCATGTGCTCCACCTGCAGTAGCGCCGTAAGATACGATTCCCGCGCCACGAAAACCTTTTCGGGCAGCTGTCGCCGCTGCTTTTGGCCGGGCTTCTTCGATTGCTGCGCCGGCGCCGTCGCTGTGGTGGCTCCACCATTTGCATGACCATTTGGTGAGTCGCTGACGTCCGCGGGCGCTGTACTGGTGACGCGATTGTGCCAGGTGCTCTTGACATTTGATCTCCCAAAGTTGGGGAACTCGTGGGCACGCAGCTCCTGCTGGCGGAGGTCCTGCAGGACGTCCTCCACCATGCAGGACAGCCGCTGATCAAAGTCCTGCAGCATCTTGGACTGGAACTTTTGCAGCTTCTCGCGCACAAAACTGAGCTCGGGCAACCTGGCCTCCTCGTCCTCCTCCGCCTCCTTCCGCTTCTCTCCATGCCTCTGTTGCTTCTCTGTGGCCATGACTGGAGCTGGGTGCGCCCTTTGTTCTTTGTGGCTAATCCTGGCCACTTGATAGCTTTTATAGCCGCGTTACTCAACCGATCTCGGCGACTACCCCCGGGTACGTCTGTTTGCACAATGTACGCAGTGTAGAGGCTTGCTGGCTCAGCTGGCTGTTTTCAAATCCGCGACGATAACGGCGCTTGGCTGACTTGGGGGCCAGAGGCACCGGCAAAAGGGGGATAATATACATAATATACAATATAATATAATATAATTCACAAAAAAGAAATAATAAAACAGAATATTTAATTTAAATGATAATAATCTAAAATAAGAAATATTTCACCTTGGAAAATGTATTTTAAACCATCTTCATTTTTTAATATTTGAATTGTTGTCTGCAGTAATTTTAAACTATTTAAATTTTCATTTATTAATAACATTAAAATTCTCTTAATTAAGCTGGAAATATCATCACTTATAATTGTCATGAAGCATATAGTACATATCTATGACACGCCACTGATTTCTCACCTCCGTTCTCTTAGGCACTCTCTTCGTTTGATCGCTCGCCTGATCGGCCCCGACTCTGGGATCTAATGTTAAGTGCGCTACAATTGTAATTGAAATACATTTGGTTTAATATCTCGCACTTTGAGCAAGACGATTAGCTGTCAACGGCACTTTAATCATTCTATTCTACGCCACCAAGAGCTGATAAGCCCATCGCAGTCCTGTCCCTAGCCCGGTGCACATGCACTTGATTTGTTTACATGACGCTGACCCCGATTGCATGTGCTTCGGTACATTGAGCACAGTGGGCTGAGAGCTTTTTTAAACGGTACAAAATACTAATACTTGGCAACAGAGGCTTTGAGTGCATTCTGACATTACTCGTCATTATTTGCCTTTATCAGAGTTCACATGCCCCATTGATAGGGTATAATAAAACAGTTCAGATTATGTAAGATAAGTAATCATTTTATGGCTAAGCGCACCTGTGATCATGATGTACTTACGGTCTGATAATCTGATTGTAAAAATGAATTACATAATATATATAAGTACACATACTACTTTTCGTAAAGTAATAATGAGGCTTTCAGAGAAAATATAAAAAATGCCATCTGTTTCTTAAGTAAATATAACAAATAAAAGAGAAATATTAAAAAAATTGTATTACGGATAAGACATAAATATCTGTAACGAAATATATGCATATGTGTAAGTTCTTCTGTCGAAAAACTAATATATAAAATATAAACATATTACAAAGTTTTTATAATTAGGAAAAAAGTATTATTAAAATGAATGTGATTTTAGGGAACATGATATTGGAGTGTTTAATACACCACCTATTTGTTTATTAATCCAATTACTTATTGGATATGTTTATCTTTATATATTTATGTTTATAATATATTAGAAATGGTTTTATTATATAATCTGCTTATACGCTAGATCCCGGGCTTATAGTCTCTGAGCTGGAGATGTTCTTCTAAGTAGATACATTATTCACTTGTTTAAAATATATACATATGTAGGTAAATATCAACTGTATGGGATGGAGAATTACATGTTCTTTAATAATATTCTTTAGCTAGCTCAAGAATAATTAAAGCATTTTCCACGGAAGACAAAAAATTTAAATGGGTACATCAATTTATTTTTTGTTATTGGGGGTCAAGTGTGATTCAGCCATTGATTAATATTGATTTTCAAATATTACCCAACAAATACTTAACTTAACTGCTGTGTAAATTATGAAATTTTTAATTAGCGAATTTTTGGAAAGGCAGAAACAACAACATAGGCTGAGGATATTTTTTGCAGCATCAAATATGGCCCAAATTGGTAAATGCAAGAGGGAAATGTGTGTGTGGTGTATTTTTGGCATATTTAATTGCAAATATTTACGAGACTGTATATGTATATGTGTGTGTGTGTGTGCGGATATGTACAGATGAGTGAAATAAAAACAAATACACGAGCATAAACATAGTGTTTTGATAACGAAAAATGAGCCGAAATTAAAGCTCACGGCCATGAGTCCTGCGGTTCACAGGATGCACTAGTGTGTTAGTGTGTGTTTCTCCTCTGGAAATAATATTAATACTGTGCAGACGCAATAACCAAAAATATTTATTATTTATGCGAAATAAACAGCAGCGGCCAGAAAAACTCAACGCACATTCAAACATACACACATAGCCATAAACCAAATATGAAATTAATGCAAAAATGACAACAGCAGCCAGTGTCAGAGAGAAAGAAAAAAATAACAGCCAAAAATGGAGAGTGTAATATATATGAAAATAGGAATAATAAAAGCTGCGCGAGTACCAGGACTCGTAAAGCACAGGGCGTAAAGCGGAGCAAAGTCGAAGCGTATTCATAAACATGCCGCCTGAAGGCGTCCATTATGGAGGGACCGAAACCGAAACCGAAAATGAAACCGGCCCAAGATCCTTTGGCCAGGATAGGAGACAAACGTACACATAAAAAGACATTTTTATTGCGCCCCGTTCCAAGGAGACGAAAGCCGAGCAGAGCAGTTGAGGGCAGCACACAAAAAAGACGGAGAAGCAAAAAAGGCAACAAAAATAATATGCGACCGCATAAAAATCTATATAATTCATAAACCCGCACTTGGTACAGTGTTGACTTCCTAGATATTTTCATTAGAAGCTGAATTGCTATTGTTGCTGAAATAAATGCATGTTTCTAAAATTTTATTAAAGAATCTAAAAATCGGAATTATTTTCAATACGTTAATAATTAATTTTATAATATTTTACTTCTATAAAATGTATTAAAATCAATCAAGCAATCACTATTTCAAATTTATAAATGTTTTATTTATGTTGTAAATATAAAAAATAAAGACTTTTGCTTTATGTTATACAGTTGTATTTCTTTAAACTGATGTGTCTTGATTTTGGTATTGATCGGTAATATTTCTTTTTTATGAATAGGAAACTTCATAAAATATTCTAATAATTTAGGGGAAATCTTGTAGTTTTTAAATAACCTTCTAAGTTCAAACAAGTTCTTAAGAATCTCGCAGAATTACAAATTTAAAAAGGCGATTTCTATTTCTCAAGAGGTTTTAAAGAACTACAAAGATTTATTACCAATTCTAAGACTTATAATAATACTAAGCATGTATAACTTCACTTTTTTATAATTCTTCAGGATATATAATCCTAATTCTCAAAAGGATCCTCGGCATCACTGTATCCAAGAGACCGGTGGTATTGGAGAGCGGAAAGCGGAAAGCGGAGACCGGAGACCGGACACGGGCAAGCAAACACGTACGGCGCTTTGTGGCGGCCATATTGGGTCATAAAAAGCACTCACACACACTCTGACACACACACACACTCACACACGGGCGGAGAGCCACATAAAAGCCTGGCCACAAACCAAAAGCGGAGCAACAGCAACAATAACGGAGGAAAAAAGTGACAGCAGCAGCAGAAAAAAATTTTATGATGCTGCTGCCTGCGCAAAAGTTTTGTGAAGCAGAAACATATAAAAAATGTTGCATATTTTTCGGCATGTGGGAAAAGGGGCGGCCCAAAGTAGGCGGACGAAGTGGGTGGCGGTGGTGGGGAAATGCTGAACGCAGAAAATACTCCTCTTGTGTGTTTATATGCATGTGTGTGTGTGTGTGTTTCTGTTTTGTCATTTCCGTTATTTGTCGTTGTGTTGTTGGTTTATAGGCGCACAGTTTTGTGTGTCCTAAAATGAAAACAAAAGCAACAAACACCAGGAACAGAAAAGGGACACACAAATTAGAAATGGCGCATTTTTGTAATTTGCTAAAAAGGCACATAAAACGCAGTCAAAATGTAAGCAATGCCATGATTAAACGAAATTTATCACCAGCAAGGCTTATAGTAAAAATGATTTTAAAGGAAACGCTAATAAAATTCAGTGCTCTACAGTATCAGAAAACAATATTTACTAACACAAAAAGGAAACGCTAATATGTATATGCTTTAATGTTTTGATTGTATTTTGAAATGTTACTTTTATGGCTAAAAATATATATGATTCTCTCTCTCTCTTGTTCTCTTGGTATTTTTTTTAATATAAAAAGTATACACTATTTTCTAAATGTAGTATTTTATAAATCCTTATAAATTAGATAAATTAAATATTTATTTAGGCAACCCTTTAATTTGCAGACTTTTATCTTGAATAAATTCCAATTGCTTACAAATCTAAATTGAATTTCGCTAAAACCTGTGATCCAACTCCCTTAACTACCAGTTCGCAATACACTAACCAATTCTCAATTTCCGCAGAAACGTTTCTTCGCTGCTTCATTGCCCTCACGTCCAAGCTAGAGCAAGGGAATCCGGCCATATGGAAGCGATGCCCGAACCCTCGGCAGGATTCGACCCTGGACCCCGGCCATTTCCTGCCGCTTTTTGGCCGGCCACGTTATTAGCGTCTAGCACATGGCTCCGAACTCAGCATCCTGGATTTTTTGAGGGGGCCAGTCGAGGCCGGGGAGGCGTGGTCGATGGCACACGTTTGCAAAATAAACTAAAGCTGCTGCGCCTGCCAAACCAACGGGCTTTGTTGACCCGCCCGCCTGCACAGAGGACTCATAAAAATATGCTTGAAATTGGTTTGGCCGGGCAAAAAAAAAGAAATGTGTGGAGAGCGGTGGAAATCGGTGGGGACAGTGGAGAAGAAAGAACGCTTAGCAATATTTAATGTCGCCAACGATGTCAACGGGAACTGGGAACTGAGGGGTTTGGAAGTGAATATGGCGACTCCGTTCGCTTTTGATTGTTTTGCAAACAAAGCGAAACAGTCACATATAGAAAGAACCATCCACCAATATACTCAGAAAAATAATAGTTTTAGAAGCTTAAAATATATTTATTCACTTTTTATGCCTTTGTTGGGTGAAGGAATCATTTCCGACCCTATCAATCATATATATTCTTGATCAGCAGTAACAGTAAAATCAATCTAGACATGTTTGCAAGAAAAAAAATTACAAAAATTGTTCGAAATTTGAAAATTGTATAAGGCTGTACATCATTAAAATTTTCAAATATTGAAAAATTTTATAATTTTTTAAAACTGTAAATTGAGTATGCAGATTTATTATTCAAAGCAATAAATTGCTTTCCGAATTAA